ATAAATTTTAAACTGTGGTCAAGAGACAGGTTGATAAGTAATTGTGAGTAGGAAAATATAAGGATCATAGAACACTGACAATATCAAATGCTGGAGAAAATGTGGAGTGGTAGGAATTCTCATGTTAGTGGAGAATGCAAAATGGTACAGCTACTTTGGAAGACAGTTTGGTAGTTTGTTAAAATACCAAACATACTCTTTCCATATGATTCAACAATCACTTACTTTCCTTATTACGTATCCAAAGATATTGAAAACCTATATCTAGATAAGCATCTGTACATGTTTGTATAAGTTTTATTCATGATTGCCAACCCTTGAAAGCAACCAAAATGTTCTTCAGTAGGTGAATGGATAACCCTGAAATATCCAGACAATGAAATATTATTTAGTATGAAAAAGAAATTAGCTATCAGATCATGAAAAGACATGAAGGGAGTTTAAATGCATATTGCTATGTTTCAATAAATATGCTAAGCTTAGCATATTGCTAAGAAGCATATTGGAAGTTTAAATGCATATTGCTATGTTTCAATGAATATGCTAAGCTTAGCATATTGCTAAGATAATATATAGTATGTGAAAAGACTACATACTATATATTTCCAACTATATAACAATGAAGATAATAAAAGTTCAGTGGCTGCCAGGGACTTGGGGAAACGAGAGGGATGAATAGAGTAAGATAATTTTTAAGGCAGTGAAAATATTCTGCATGGTACCATAATGGAAGATAAATGTCATTATAAATTTATCTAAAGCCCCAGGGTTTCAACATCAAGAATATTCCCTAATATGAACAATGAGTTTAGGTGATAAAGATGTATCAATGTAGATTCACTGACTGCAACAAATATACCACTCTGGTGCAAGGAGATTGTGAGGGCTGCAATGCATGTGTGAGAACAGGGAGCGTTGCGACACAAGACTAAATTAGTCAGGGTCACTCCAGGAGAACTGGGCTGGTACAAAATAATGACTCACAGAGAAATACCTTTCTCTTTGGGTTCTGTTATGCCACTCTGACCCAGCTCCCACAAAGGAAGCAAGGCAGGCAAGAAAGAGAGGGAGCACACCTTGAACCCGGGTTTTATTGGGGGAGGCTGTTCAAAAAACATTATATTCATATAAGGCAGAGGGGTAAGGTTACAAGGGCCAGTCTACCTCCACTGGGTAACGCCCACTCCCAAAGCGGGGTTCCTCTGCTGAGCAGAAATCGGGATCCACCTGCTTCCCAGTCAGGGAATCCAGTCTCCACATTTCCGTCATTTAAAGGTAGGGGGCGCTCAGCTCCTATGTGGAAGCTCCCCCAACAAGGGAGTTTAGGGGAAATCTTTGTACTTTCTGCTCAATCTTTTTCTAAGCCTAAAATATTCTAAATATAGTGTATTAAAATTTTTAAAAATCACATTCAATGCCACTGTTTCTGTTATAGGACAACTATAGTACTCCATGTTTTGTTATGGAAAAATAACTTCAACTGATTAACACAGAAAACCTTGCTGTTAGTAGCTATCTTCCATGTACAAGAAATGTTGCTAACAAGATGAGGGAGAAATATATATGTAAATGCTTCCTTTTTCTTTTAAGAAGGAGATAAGGACTGGCAGATGCTTATGAACATCTGCATTGATCAGTCTCTATGCTACTGCCAGGCAGCAGGTAACTTAAAACTATTGAACTTTTTAATGAAATGTCCCATCAGTATGAAATTTTGTAACTGGAATAAAATATTTACTATGGAACTCTGTTTCATCTTCATTTGAAAATATGGAGTTATGGGGAAAACTATAATTCTTTCAGGAATGAGAAAAATATATTTTATGTAATTTACTGAATGTTTAACATACAGTATGACAATTTTTCTGGGATTTAACTAAAGTTAATATGATTGTTGCTGGAATGTAACAAAAGGCTTTTAGTTCACACTTAATACTTGCTTTTCTACATTAAAGACAACATACCATACAAAATGAATTCAATTTTTTTCCTTAAAAATCATTTTAAAGTTTGTTCTACTCAGCCTAATGACTAACACAGTAAAGGCAAACAAACACACTAGTATTACATAATTGGCTGATTTTACACAGCACATATCTTTTATACTATAAGTGTATTACTAAGTAATAGAAAACATCCAATAAAACCAGTAAATAAATTTCTAAGCAAGATTTTTATAGGCCCCATTTTTGGATTTTTGTTTTGTTTTGTTTTGTTTTTTTGGTGCTAGGAATCAAATCCAGGGACTCATGTGTGCTAGGGAAGTGCTCTACCACTAAGCTACCTGCTAAGGCAGATCTCATCTCTTATACCCAACCATGATAGTCTTAATAAATGATAAAACCAGTGAATTTCCTCACATGAAATCATAGTGATAGTTGCTTTGGTATCAAAATCTCTATTTCTGATCCACTATCAGCATTAAAACAAAATTCAAATATTCCCAAAGAAAGAAGTACAACTCATGTTGTGATCAACTGTTTAGCGACAATGAGCATTTAATTTAAAACTATCTCATCCCAGAAATGAAATAAGATCAGCTATGGTTATTGGCATTTTCTACACTATAATATTGTAGAAAACCTCAGTGTCACAAAGAATTCTCTTGTCTTTAATTTTATGGTTACAGCTTTCTTCTCAAATTGATTCCCACTGCCAAATCTGAACAAAAGAAACTATTAATCAGAATTTTATCAAGTACTACATGAACTACAGAACAACATGAGCTACTTGTTAACCATCAATGGCTGCTTATTTGCCAAAATTGTATAAGGGGTGATTTTAATTGGCGCACCAGACACTGATAAAAATATCTAGAGAAGCCTGGTGCAGTGTGCACACCTGTAATCCCAGTGGCTCAGGAGGCTGAGACAGGAGGATTAAGAGTTCAAAGCCAGTCTTAGCAATTTATCGAGGCCCTAAACAACTCAGTGAGACCCTATCTCTAAATAAAATACAAATTAGGGCTGGGGATGTGGCTCAGTGGTCAAGTGCCCCCTGAGTTCAAACCCTGGTGCTACAACACCACCACCACCCCCAAAAAATCTAGAGAATAAGAAAAGATTTTTATAGTTAGTATGAAAGCATTCAAGACTCATTTGACTGAAAAATGAGATTTTTATCAGGTATCTTGAGCATTACTATTTTTAAAGCATATAACAGTATTGGGTTTGCAGTTTTAAAATTAAAGCCCATACTAAAATCAAGTGTGGATGTCACCCTGGGACAGATGTCAAGGTCAGGGACAAAACAAAAGGAACAGTTATATAATCCATTTGGACATACTTTTGCAACTGTTAACTCTGGAATGTTAACTATTGTTTAGGACTATGTTGTCCAATATATCAGTCAATAACCACTTATGGAGATTCAAATTTAAATTAATTAAAATTAAATAAAATAGAAAATTCTGTTCCTCCATTGCATTATCCATATTTCAATATCCACATGTAATCTGTCACTACTGTATTGGATAGTGCAGATAAAGATCATTCCATCATCATAGAACATTATGTTGGATATCTTTGGAACAGGACTTGAAACTTTTTCCAATAAGGAAAACCTCTAAAGATTTATTAGTCTGACCCATATTTATGACTGCTCTCTGCTCAGATCACCATATACACTGTAACATAAATGATTGAAATATGTTTGCCACCACAGCTCTCTATCAAAACAGCACAATGATTGAAAAATGTCCTTGTTGGAGCAAGTTAAAATATAAAATAACCAAATCAAGAGAAAAACAAATCAAATACTGACCATTCTTTATTCAAACAGCATTCTGTTTCACATGTGAATCTAAATCAGGGCAATGACATTGTCTGACTACCACCTTGTCACTTACTATTATCAACTGTATTTTTTTAAGTCATTTTTACATTAGTAGCAAGGTACAATTTAATTTATTTGGTGATAAAGCCACTAGAACTAAGACAAAGTCAAGAGAACTGCTATCAGAAAATGCTAAGATCCAAATATATAGGAATTGTTAAGAAAACACAAAATAGGAGCAATGTAACTTAAAAACAAAATAAAAGACTTACTGTAAGCTAAAGACAATCAGATCTAACAGCATCTTTAATTTTTTTACCTCTCCAAATCAACATTATAGAGTCCAAAAATCTGGGCTACATTTCACATTTGCTTTCCCACTATATGCTCACCAACCAGAATCCTGCCAAGTATAATTTAAATAAATATTATCTTGTTATAAGGTGATAAGATTATTTTCCTGATTTATTTGCCTGATTTTCAAGGTTATCTGGCTGACAAAAATCACCTTGAAAACCAAAATGTGAATTTACTTCATCAAAATAAGAGCAAGGAATTCAAAGCACATAATAGATTTTTAACTGAGAATATAATTTTCACAAGTAGTGATCACAGTTTATAACCATAGATTGAATTTGTACATAAAAATAAAAAATCTGCCATATGACAGTATGTATTCAAAAAGCAACTACAACATGCTCTTGTATGGCATAAAATAGTACTGAATTACGTGAAATGGTACAGTATAGTTTAATTTAGTTTTGTTTTGTTTTTTTTGGTACTGGGATTTAATCTAGAGGCAATTGACCACTGAGCTACATCCCCTTTTAACTTTTTGAGACAGGTCCTCGCTAAGTTCCTTAGGGCCTTTCTAAGTTGATGAGGCCAGTCTTGAACTTAAGATCTTCCAGTTTCAGCCTCCCAGGGGGCTAGGATTACAGACATGTGCCACTCCAGCCAGTTGTATATGATCTTTACTCCTCCACAGCTTCAAATGACAGGGTTACTATAAATCTTCCTCTCAAACAAACCTTTGATAGATTAAATAATGTAATTAAATAAGAAATTAAAATACTTACCAGCAAGTCAGGAGCAATCAAAATAGTTTTTCCCTTATTTGAATTGTCTCCTGATAGCATCTTTTTCCTTCTGTTACCACCTACAAAACATTAACAAATCCTGATTCTTCAGAGTCACTTGCCAAGTCAGTGTTCATATTGGTAGGCATGTATGCCACCAAGCATCCCTGCTGCTAGGGCACCAAGGCAGGCAGGGCCTGGAAGGTAACAGTTTTATTTTGAGCAGGGGAAAACACAATGAAGCACTTCATGGCTACATTGTAACTAGATCCTGCTTCAGTTTTCTATGGAAATAACTAGATATCAACAGCATCTTAATTAGTAATAATACTAGGGAAGAACAGCTCTTATCAGATCAAAAACTGAAATCCCCAAAATGCATTTTCTAGAAGCCAGTATATCCTTTTCCTGTGTTCTACAAAGAATGGCCTGATTGTTAGTCTCTCATTTGTCACAAAGCAAATATAATTACCTTTCTTATGTTTTTTCAGAGAGGAAATGTTAATTTCTATCAAAGTGGGAATGAAGGGCTATCTGATTTCTAACTTTCACCCCTACCACTGGAAGAGACCACTCATTCTATTAATCATGCCTAAGTATAGATATTATTATACCAACTCTTAGAAGGTGGGAATTTGGGTGTCTTAGAAGAGGTCTATCTCAGTTTTTCTTCTGTTACAGCTGTTCAGCTATTTTTTGATTCTTGTGCTTACTCTGCTCGCTTTATTTCAAATACCAAGACATGATACTAGTTTCTGAAATTTTAGTACAAACCTTAGAGAAGGTACATTTATGTGTACGAATGACAAAAATATTACCCTATTCCAAAATTTCTGTAAAACACTGACATGTCCAAGGGTTGCCTCTTCGTTTTTCTTCAGAATTTGAAACTGGCTGTCTCATGAACTTCTTGATAACTTCCAACATATTGATTAGCATGGCAGCAGAAAGCAACACAACCTTAAAAAAGAGATAAGCATTAATTATACTGACAAATCAATTAAGCAAATAAATCAGTTTTCTTAAAATTACTACATAAAACATGTTTGAGACCAAGCGTCCCTGTCTTACTACAGAATTGAGTAAGACAGAGATTGTGGGAAGCAATTGCTCTCAGCAGGAGGAAAGGACAATATAGCACTTTGCAGCTATAGTGCCACATACCCAACCTGCCAGCCAGAGAAAAGTCTCATGTACACCTGAATACTTGTACACAATTTGTAGTAAGTCTCATGAATTTGATCCTTAATCTCAGCCCAACATTTTAATCTACTTCATTCAAAATAAATTACTTGATCCATTTTGGATAGTTCAAAATTTTTTTTAGTTAAGCGGGAGCTGTGCATAGTGACTTCCTTCCAAATAGTACAGTATGGAGGGAGGGAAGGAGGAGGGTAACTTTCCATTGGAGAAAGATGACAAATACTACCTCAGCCAAGTAACTGACATCAATATCAATACTTATGATTCTTGATATAGAATGACAAGAATGACAGTTTATACCTGTGGTCTTCTTTCCTAAAACCCCAAATCCTGTGTAATTCTCTTTTTAAAAATCAGACAAATTCTAATAGAGGGGCATTCTATTTAAATAATTGACCATACTCTCATAACTGTCAAGGTCACCAAAAACAAGGGAATACTAAGAAACCTTCACAGCCAAGAGGAGTCTAAGGAGATATGCCAACTAAATATAATGTGGTATCTTGGATGGCATTTGGAACAGGAAAAGTACATTAGGAAAAAACTAAGGAACTCTGAATGAATTTTGGACTATAGTTCAAAAAAATGTGTGTGAGTATAGGTTCACTAACTGTTAACCACCCTAAAATTGTACCATAAAATTACCATACTAACATAAGACACTTATAAGAGAGAAACAGGGTATGAGGTATATGTGAACACTCTATACTATCTTCTCTGTTTTTCTGTAAACCTAAAACTGTTCTAAAAAAATAAAATCTATTTTTATAAGTCTCTGTATCAAAGTGTACAGCAACTGGCTTTATTAGTTTAATTATATTCCCCAAATAAATATATAACCTAAATATCATTGGTTTAAAAAAAAACGCTATAGGAAAACTACAGCAATACTTACAAAGATGTCTTCTATTTAACACATTGAAATTCTCCTATATGCCAAGAGTACTATGTACTGCCTCATCCTGCATTTTTGTAATTCATTTAGAACACCAATTTCACAATGCAGACATAAGTCGCTCCCATATCATCTTCAAGTGCCAGAATTAGCTTTTGGATCTAAAAGAGAATATTCTAAATTATTATGTTATAGAAATACAGACTCCAACAACTGACTTCAAAGCCCATGGATAAATATGAACTATTATATTTGGTTTGATATATGTATATACTCTGAATATATGTGTATGATATATAATATATATCATGTATATGTTAATATAGGTGTAACAATAATGTATTATTTATATTTATTATGTATTGATATATTACTATGTGTAATATAATAGTATGTTATGTATATAATACATATTATGTATCACATATTGTGTGTTTATGTATGTGTGTGTGTGTGTGTGTGTGTATATATAAATGTGCATACACAGTATAAAAAAGGAATTGAGGCTCTTTGGAGAAATGGCTACTTCTCTGGACAGAAGGAGAAAGAACAAATTGAGCTTGGAACACCTTATTCTAGAAAATAGGGAATGAAGGGGATATGTGAAAAGAGTTAAAGGAACCAGCTTGAAGAGACTCCATTGGCCAGAAACTGGGCCAGTTGAGCCACAAATAAATACTGACGGATTATAATCCATGGAATATTAATTAACCTATGAGTTCACAGATATCAAATAAATAATGGATGAATTAGTGGGGGGAGATTCCTCTTGCAATATAAATATAGGAAACGGAAAAGCATTCTGTAGCTCCTGTTATGTGGGGAGGAGAAGAGGGGGCTGGGTGTGGTCCCTCCTGGCAGTGGAGCTAAAAGCGGATTCCCTGAGAAGCAGATTCTGTCCTCTTGTCCTTCCCTTCTTAGAGCCCGGGTCCCTCGGCACCTGTCACCGCCCCGCCGCGCTCGCGCGCTGATCCACGTCCCCTCCACCTATTCTTACCCAGGCAGCGGCAGCAGGCTCGGGAGACGCCGCAACCGGTTCCTCTACGTTGCCACCTGCAACTGCGACATGGTGAGGCCGCCGCCATGCCGCCGGAGGCCTGATGCTTACAGATGCGAAGCTGAGCCTCCGAAGTTGCCCACTGCATGGCTTCGTTCGCTGATGCTGAACGCGAGCTTCTTGTTCTCCTCTGGCCACCGTCCAGGTCCGAAAAACAGACCAATCGTAGCGAGGCATTCGGGAGGGGGTGTCACCGCTAAAGCCCGGACGAAGGTAGATCCTCTGGCGCAGGCGGGGAGAGGTCCCTGCTTCCGAGTCTCTAGAGGGCCTGCGCCTTCTCCGCGGGGCGTCTGCCCGGAGTCGGGATCTTCGTTCTTTAGAGCACCTGAGGCAAAGAACCGGGACCCGGCCTATCGTTGGATAAAGGGCTGGGAGTGAGAACCATTGGAAATGGTAAAGCATTTTCAAATAGTAAAAAACGTGCAATGAAAAAAATCCTCCTCTTAACTGCCTCAAAATCGAAATTACTGAATATTTTAAAAACGAAGAAAAGATAAAATGCTGTATAATAATATCTGTGGAATGTACTTAAGGTAGTGCTCAAAAAGAAAATACAAAATATAAGTGAATTAAATGTCCAATTCAAAAATTGAGAAGAAATTATCAAAGAAAGCAGAAGGAAAGAATTTGTAAGGATAAACGAAGAAATTAGAAAATAGAAACAGGACACTACTAAGTAAAAGATTTTGTGGGGGGGGGAAAGGCTACAGTAGGGTGGTTGGTTGACCTAACAAAGAGAAGTGAGTACAATTAAAATGCAAAACAATGAGAGGGTGGGAGAGGGATAACTATAGATAAAGAAAAAGTTAAAAGATTTTATGAGAGATTTGACTCAACTCTGTGTAATAATTTGAAAACCTAAGTGAAATAGATAAAATGCCAAGAAAATACAATTTGCCAAAATATTCCAGAGGTAGAAATTCTAAGTAGACCAATAATCATAGAAGAAATTGATATGTAAGAGAACTGCCTTTTCCCACACCTAAATCCACAAAGGTATCAGTACCAAATTATTTCACAGGAGAAGTTTACTATGCAACTTTTAGAAACAGATAAAGTCTGTTTCTGTTGATTCTGTCTTGGGCACAGAAAAAGAAGAAACTTTCCAAATTTTATTTATGAAGTAAGAATAACACTAATACCAAATCTCACTAAACATGCATCAAGCATATATACATTGACCATTGAAATTTTTATTCATGAATATCAGTATTAAGGAAAACAATTAAAAATTATTATAACATGAAAAAAATAACATGTCATTTTCAGAAATGAAATGATATAATTAGTTTAAAAAGAAAAATATGTCATCTTCATAAATGCTATAAAGGCATTTGATAAAGTTCAACATATTTTTTATTAAATCAATAAAAATTAAGCAAATATTGTTGGCACAACTGGATAGCCATCTGGAAAAAGTAAAGTTGGATCACAATTAACAATACATACTTTGCATCAAAGTAAATTCCAGATAGGTTAAAGAGTAAATGGGGAAAAAATTAAGCTTTAGGCTTTTAAAGTAATCCTGATAACATTCCATAGCAATACCCAGAAGCCATAAAAGAAAATTGATGGCTCAAGTACATAAAAAATTTTAAAGTGGCAAAAGTATCTCAAGTAAAAAAAATAAAGAGCAATCTGAGTGAAAAATTGCAATTCATACCACAGACAATGAATTGATTTCTTTAATACATAAAAAGTACCTGTAAACTAATGAGGACATCAGCAACCATTAGCAAAATGACAAAGAGTACCAATGGTTCACAAAAAGGAAACACACAAATACATAATAAAAGTGTTCAAGCTCATTCAAAATAATAAAATTACAATGAAACTATAATAGAATATAATTTTCACCTATCATATTAGAAAATATCACAAGTCATAAAATATACTCTAATTGGTGAGGTAGCAGGAAAATGGGCATTATCATACTTAACTGATGGAAGTACAAATTGACAATAGCCTACAAAGAACAATCACAATATCTATTAAAATTGCAAATAAACATTTTTTGCCCAGAAACTCTATTTTTAGGAGTGTATCTTACAAGTACATGTTGAAATGACTGGTGTTTAAAGAGTTCATTGCAGTATTCTAATAGCAAAGATAATAGAGATTGAAGCCCATCAGTGCAGAACATACAGTGGATTACTATGCAGCTATTAAAAATAATAAAATTCTAGAGTTTCTGTTCTATAGGTACTAATGTGGAGTTATATCTAAAATATACTGAAGAATGAAAAACCAATGCAGAAATGCATATACATGTGTTGTTTAATGACAGAGACACTTTCTGAGAAACGCATTAGGTGATTTCATCATTGTGCAAATGTCATAGAACATATTTACACAAACCTAGATGGTAGGTAGCCAAACTGCCTTTGTTTACACATAACATGATTGTTCACACATAACATGATTGTGTGTATAGAGAATCCTAAGTAATAACAAAAACCCTAATATGTGATTATAGCAAAGTTGTAGGATTTAAGGTTAATATTAAGAAGTCAGAATTTTTCTGTATACCAGCAATGAATAATTGAGATTTGAAATTTAAAAATACAACACCTTTTACATGAAATACTTAGTATGACTTAGTTTATTCCTGTTTTCTCCAGAGAAATAGGAGAAATATACACACAAACACATGTCTGGCACATGTGATTTATAAAGGTTGGCAAGTCTAAAATTTGCAGAACTGATGTTCCAGTTTCAGTTTGAGTTTGAATGCCAGCAGGCTGCTGTAGAATCAAGAATTGTAAATGTTTCATCTTGAAGGTCATAAGGCAGTAGAGCCAGTCTTTTTTGCTATTCTGACCTTCAATGGTCTGGATAAGTTTTAGATTATGTAGGGCAATATGCTTTATTCCATCTACCTATTTAAATCTCTCCCTCACTCCCTCTCTCTTTTTCCTTCTTTTGCATGCATGGTACTAGGGGTCAGACCCAGGGCCTCACTCATACTAGGCAAGCACTCAACCTTCAAGCTATATTCTCAGCCCGTTAAATCTAAATTTCATCCAAAATACAGTTACAGAAACACCCCAAATAATGTTTGACTAAATAACTAGACATCCTGTGGCCCAGTTAAATTGATACACAAAATTAACCATCATAATCACCCTTGTCAACCTGGTACCCATAGACAACTCTTTAAACTATATTTAAGCTCCAAGTAATTACAGTTACAAGATCATAATGCCATTTGACATGACACAACTTTCCTTTGTATAATTGAAAACATAATAACCTTTCCTAGGAAGATGTAAAGTCCCTAAGTGATGTTTACTTTTCTCCTTAATATCCCATAACTTAAATACTGTGGTGTAAAGATGACAATACTTAAGGGTTGGGATTGTGGCTCAGCGGTAGAGCGCTCCTAGCACGTTGGAGGCCACAGGTTTGATCCTCAGCACCACATAAAAATAAATACATAAAACTACAACTAAAAAATAAATATTTTTTAAAAGATGATAATACTTAAATACTATGATACATAGGCAGCATATGTTAATACATGAGAAGGGGATATGAAAAGGAAGAAAACCAAGATATTTGTTACATGCTCACACACACAAACTCATAACAAAATAAGGAGGAAATACATAAGACAGTACTCATTTTTGTAATTGGACACATGGTTGTAACTAATCTTTAAAACTTAGCTTTTTCTACTGCCCATTGCTTATTCTTTCTGCCTTTAGCAAGAACCTTGGCTGGTCACAGTTCTTTTTTTTTTTTTTAAATAGACAAGTATCATTTTTTGTAGTTATAAATGGACAGAATGCATTTGTTTATTTTTATTTGGTGCTGAGAATCAAACCCTGTGCCTCACACATGCCAGGCAAATGCTCTGCCACTGAGCTACAGCCCCAACCCTGGTCACAGTTCTTTACCTGATGAAGTTAACCAAATAGTTTCTGAGTAGCCTTGCCTATATTGGGTTGTTGTAGTTTTCTATTTACCTTAATCTCAAAATATGGCAATACTGAGAGACACTGTAAGAGATCTCTGGCTTATCTCTATTGTGAAGTAATAGTTCAATTTCCCCTTAATATTCAAGTTCAATCTCTCCAGTTAGCACTAAAATTCTATTTTCCTATTGTTTCAGAGGCACGTAGAGCTTCAAGTGACAGGTGGCAATCTTAAATCTACTGGTAGAAACATTTCTTTTTTTTTGGAACTCCTAAGCCAGCAGAGTATGCAGTCACAGATACAGGAAGCAAAAATGTTGCTGATGGTTCACTAAGGACAATACTAATGAGAACCACTTCCATTTCTATCCCTTGATTCCTGGACCCATGGATCCTGGCTATGAGAAAAGTAGCACTATATATTGGATACTGATTCAGAGAATATACAGCCTCCTAGGGCACCTTGCCCCAACCTTGCAAGATATTACCACCTAGCTGATGCTATAACTGAGTTTTCAAATGGCCATTCAACCATTTATGAAGCCAGTTACTTCAGGATGTTGGCGAACATTATAAGACCAGTAGATCCCATGATTATTGGCTATGAAGTAAATTCCTTCATCAGAAGCAATGCTGTGTGGAATACCTTTACATTAGATAAAACTTTCTTTAAGTTGCTGGATAGTATTTTGGCAGAAGCATTGTGTGCAGGGAAGGCAGATCTATGCTGAGAGTGTCTATTCCAATAAAACACTATGGAAGCAGTATGGTGCAATCAGTCTACCACTGGGTAGCTGGCTAATTGCTCCAGGGAATGGTGGCATATCAATGTTGGTCTCTGATGCTGGCAAATTGGGCACTTTGCCAATTGCAAATTGGGTAAACAGTAATCCATGTTGCTGAGCCCAGGCATAATCTCATCCTTTATACCATGACTGCTTTACTTATGAAGCAATGGGTAATGACGGGTGACTAAGAAAAGAGACTGACTGCTATCCACAAAATAAGTTTTCTTATTTACTTGATTATTAATATATTCCTCTGCTGAGGTCATCCTTTGGTGAGCATCCATGGCGGACACAAATATTTTCACATTTTTTGCCTATTTACAAAGATCAATCCCTAGACCTTTTCCCCAAATTTCCTTGTCATTAAATTTTTAATTATGTACATTCCAAATCCCTGACTATTCAGCTAAACCACTGACCACAGCTCATAGATTGGTATGCAGTCTCACATCAGGCCAGTTCTCCATCCAAAGTCAACAACCAAATGCACTGCTTAAAGTTCCACCCTCAAAGAGGATTTCCCTTCACCACTGAGTCATCCTGCAAGCTTCCTGTGCTGAAATTTTATCCCTATTTAATCTGACAATGGTGTTTAAAAGTGGGACTTTATCGAGGTGATTAGGATTAGATAAGGTCATCAAGGATGGAGGTCCTATGATTGAATACTTGGGACTTTTAAGAGAGAGAGACCAGCCAAAGGAGATACACATTCCTTTTTTTGTCATGTGATTTCCTGAACCATCTTGAGACTCTGCCAGCAAAGAAGGTCATAATCACTAGAACCTTCTCTTGACCATTGGCCTCCATAACCATGTGCCAACATAAACCTCTTTTGTTTAAGTAGTTTGTCTCAGCTATTTCATTATAGTAATGCAAAACAGACTAAATTGTCCTTTGAGAATGTTGCAGTAAGGGCTGTGGCATTGCAGCTATTCACTTTTGAGTCATGCCTGAATATAGTACTTTTATCTATAAATCAGACCTGAGTTTGCTCTTCCTGTCAACTGGTTGTTGGCCTCCACAAGGCCATAGGTTTAGGCTGGCAGAGAGAAGGGAGTGTAGCAGGAGTTGGTACAATGAGTGTTTGAGTCCCTTCTTTATATATCTAACTTGTATCTTCAGAGCTCAAGGCTGATAACATATATATCACTCCCATTTGATGATGTGCACATACAGCTGTGGAGCTTTCTCCTGGTATAGGTCCCCCTCAGAACTATCAGTTTTTCAGGGCACTTGGTAAATGGCCTGGAGTAACATACCCAAATGAAGAATATTCTGCCACTCAGATCCAAAGAAGCCCTCTAGGTCTTGGACCTTGTTTTTGGTTATAAGCCCTTCTGGTGTAACAATTTATCCTTTACTTTAGAAGGGATACCTGGTTGTGCTCTATACTAAGAGACTCCTAGAAATTTCACTAATGCACTAATGTGGAAGGTCCCTGAATTTTTGTCACATTTATTTCACGAACTCTGACATGTAAATTTCTTATCAATAAGTCTAGGATAATTGCTCTATTTCTTGTTCACTAATGACATAATGTCATTAACGTAATGTAGGATATCTTGTGGAAGAGAAAGGCCTTCAAGGTCCTTGTGAACTAAATTATGACATAGGGCTGTATATTTAATGTACCACTAAGGTAGGAGAGTGAAGGTATATTGCTGGCCTTGCTGAGTGAAAGAAAACTGCTTTGGTAGTCTTTTTTCTTTTAAGTGTGAAGATAAAAAGCACTTAACAGTTCAATAGCTACATACCAACTACCAGAGGCTGTGTTAATTTTCTCAAGCAACAAAACTAATCTGGCACAGCAGCTGCAACTGGAATTGCTACTTGATTAAGGTTATGATAATCCACAGTCATTCTCTGAGATCTGTTATCTTCTTCGTGGGCTGCATAGGTGAGCTGAATGAGGATGTAGTGGAAATCACCACCCTTGCACTTGTTGAGTCCTTAATGGTGGCACTAATCAATGCTATCCCTCTAGGAATTGCTTTTGGTTTACTATTTTCATAGGAAGAGGCAGTTCAAATGGCTTCCACTTAGGGACTGGGGTTGTGACTCAGAATTAGAGTGCTCACCTAGCATGTGTAAGGCACTGGGTTCAATTCTCAGCACCACATAAAGTAAAAAATAGAGACATAGTGTCTACCTATAACTAAAAAATAAATATTTTTTAAAAATGGCTTCCACTTAATCTTTCCCACTTTCGTATTCTTCACTCCACGGATCAGGGAACAACATGGAGATTTTGCCAACCAATGAGTTTATCTATTCTGGTTATGTATTCTAGAGTTGGAAAAATAACCACAGGGGTGATGGGGACCCACTGTGCCCACTCTAAGATGGACTAGGACTATAATATTATCTTTGGGCTGCATTTTAACTCATTTTATGCCAATATCCCTTACACTGGGTCATTTATAATAAACAGAAATTTATTTGGCTCACAATTGGAGGATGGGAAGACCAAACTTGAGGGACTACATCTGATGAGGGCCTTCTTGCTGTGCATTATCGTAAGAGAAGTTGTCACATGAGTGAGAGGGAGAAAGTAAGGGTACTGAATTCGTGCTTAATGAAGATAGCCCTCATGATCTAATAACTTCTTAAAAATCCCATCTTTCAACACTTGCATTGGGGATTAAATTTCCAATACATGAATGTTGGAGTACACATACAAAATATCTTAGACTGAATAGCTTATAAACAACAGAAAATTATGGAGACTGAGAAGTCAGAGATCAGGATGCCAGCATGGTCAGGTCTGGTGAGGACCTGCTTTCCTTATTGCAGACTGCTGACTTCTCTCTCTTCTCACATGGCAGAAGGGTCAATTGAGTTCTTTTACAAGGGCACTAATCCTATTAATGAGGATTCTGCCATTATAACTCAATTTCCTCCCCAGAGTCCCATTTCTTACTACTGTCTCTTTATGGCTTAGAATTTCAACATATGAACTTTTAAGAGTCACAGACATTCAGTCCATAGCAAACTCCATTGGTCACCTGACTTCCATTAGCTCCTTTCCTGCCTGGTGACATTTTGGTCTCCTGGAATTAGTTTCAGTTCAGAGCCCATGTCCAGTGATGCCCAAAGGTCTCTATTTTTCCCCCCTAATGTATAAAACTCAGTAGAAAAAGGCCATACCATTCTTTTGGGAAGGCTAAAGAAAAGTTAACACTATAAGTTGTTGGCAGTTTATTGGGATCTTATCTAAAAGGGATCCAGCCTTCCTGAGTTCTGAGTCTATAAACTGGCTCAAGTGTGGGAATTGATTAAGGATTCTCAATTTTTATGATTGAAGTTAGACTTTTGTCCATGTGACCTGGAACCTTTTGCTGACACAAGTCAGTAAGAATCTAGTTGGTCTCTATTATATCACTTTTACTACTCTATATATTTCAACACCATGGTCGACCAGCCAATGCCATATATCTGCAAGAGTCAAACTATTCTAATTATTGTTTCAAACTTTCTGTTTATTATGGTAGCCATGCTCACCATGTCTTTGTCAGTTGAGTGCTGCTATTTGGTCCTTGCCCCTCTGAGATCTAATTGCTCCCATTGTCCTTGTAAATTGAAGGGTATGTAAGTCTTATGGGATTGAACCTTTAACCTGTGGAATATATGCTAACTCCAGATAGTTCATGTCAGAATTTCCCAATTTGGTGACTGTTGTTCCTACTATAAAGTCTGGCATACAGAAAGGAATAATCATAGAGTCATTATGGTGAAAGGTGTGTCCTTTAGATCATTCAGAGTAGGTGAGTAGGTATTACATGACAAATTTGCTCTAATATCCTGATCTCCTCAAGCCTTGGAATCCCCTTCTCTACATTAAATGGACACAGATCTGGCTTTTCTAACTCACCCATTGTGGGCAAACTTTTGATCCATGCTTCAGCTAACCAGCCAGTAGAGCTCTTTGTACCTCTGTCAGCTTAAATGTAACTTCTCTGCTTTGTGGGCCTATATCAATAAATTCAGCCTAATCCAACTTGATGTTCCTTCCATCATCATCATCAACAACATCATCATCATCCATGTCCATTTCCACACAGATTCCCCAGATGGTTTATCTGTATAAGTTAGAGAACTCAAATAATTATTTTGCAGCATTCCTCCTCTTGGGCTATACTTCTTAAGTCATGTTTAAAGACCTGCTGGGACCCAAACCTGATTGTAGGTCTAAAAGGGAAGGTCATGGTGAGTCCTGAGGAGAAAAAATACTGTTTTGCGAATAACTAATCATGGGAGGCCATCATAGTTTCTTCAGCCAATGCAGTGCTAATCCTCTCAGGTGGGGGTGGAGAAACCACTTTTACTGGTAAAGAAGAGGCATCAGAAGTTAGGGGCTCATTGTCCCCAGAACTCCAACACAGTCTTCTCATATATTTTCATTTCAACTTTCAGGATCCTATTCTTCTCAACCAATATGATGATTTTAAAAGTAGACATCCTATGTATTTGGAAATTAATCTGTGTTTTAATTCAGTCACTTGCAAGATGAAATTAAATCAAGAAAGGAACTATGTGGGGAGGAGAGTGATATTTCAGAGGTAGAGGCAGACAGAATATGTGCACACATATACTGCTCAGGGTGACAAGCTGATTTCAGGAAAGGGAAAGGATGACTTAGGATGGTGTGAGCACAGATGACCTTTCACTTTTTGGGTTTGTCTACCTAATCAGCTACAGAGAAGGTTGTATATTTGCTAATATCATTTTTCTAACTCTCTGACAACAACTGAGTGTTCAATTCAATTCTGACATGAACTATCTGGAGTTAACATATATTTCACAGGTTGAAGGTTCAAACCCATAAGACTTCCTCACCCTTCAAATTTTAATTGCCAGTCCTCAGCTCCATACTTGTGGCCAGCTGTGTACTGGGAGTCCTACAAAGACTTCCTTAGCTTCAGTAATATGATAGAGTGACTCACAGGACCCAGTAAAAAGTGTTTTATTTATGGTTGTTGGTTTAGCTTAAAGGATACAACTCAGGAACAGTTACATGGAAGAGAACCATAGGGCAAGATATAGGAGGTGGTGGTACAGACAGCTCCATACTCTCTCCAAGTGCACCACCCTCCCAGAATCTCAATGTGTTCACCGATCTTGAAGATCCCTGAACTGTGTAATTTAGGAATTTCTATACATGTTTCATTACATAGTCATTCTTGATTAAATCATTAGCTCTTGGTCATTAATTCAATCTTCATCCCCTTTCCCCTCCCTGAATGTTGGTGGGTGATGCTCAAAGTGCCAAGTTTCTAACCAAGGTTTGATCTTTCTAGTGATTAGTCCCTATGCTGAAGCTATCTCCAGGTACACCAAAGAGTCTTCTCACAAGAAAAAAAAGGACACTCCTGACACCCTATTGAAGCAAAGCAGGGAGGGCCCTGATTTCCCTATCAGGGTTTCCTGCCTAATGAAAGCTTCTTAAAAAAAAAAAAAAAAATATATATATATATATATATTTCCACCATGGGCCATACTTCTAGCTTCAGGAACTGCTGACTTCACTCCCCACCCCCACAAGCTTTCCTGTAACACCTGTGTGTTCAATACATTTGAACTTGATCAAATGTAGTCTTCCTGAGGAGGTGGCAGTGATAACCTCCACCATATTTTACCAGCAGAGCACAGAGGAACCCAATGTACTTGTGAAGATCCAGCATCAAGTGCAAACCTCATGGCTGCGAGCAAAGAACTGAGAAGACATGTGCAGAAGTCCTAAGATCATGTGCAGCTTCTGACTGTGTGCCTGCACTAGCCCACCCTTTTTGTCTACATAAACTTTGCTCTTTGCATTCTCAGAAGGCTGATCCAAGAACTCTACCCTGTACACTGTCAACCTTGTGCTTGAACACAACCCCCAGCAAAGCTTTATTTGGATGACATTGCTTACCATTTTGTGATTTCTATCTCAAACTAAGCAAAACAATCTTTGGATGAACTGGTAACACCAAAATGAGCTAGTAACATCAGAAAGACCTATATTTCACCTTTCTATGAGCAGAGCAGTCACTTGTTATTTGGTGTTGGTAGTTGTACCTGGCACTGCTTATCACAAGCATAATAGATGTTAATAGATGCAACTAATTGTTACTGATTCACTGGAGAGGGAAGCAGACCATTCTGGCTTATTCTTTGATTTTCCCAGTCAAGCAGACAGGAAAGAGATCATAATTAGAAAGCAGAAAAAGAGGCAATGAAGGAGGGAGGATGAGGAGGAATGTTGGTACTCACAAAAGTAATGGAAACAATGATCATTTTCTCAGAAGAATAAGGTGGAATAGGCTATCATACTACATGGTCATTTCTTCTTAGAGAATTTCAGAGCTTTCTGGAAAAGAAACTTGGAAATCAGACTCACTTCCTCATCAACCAGGTAAAGCATTCCAAACCCTGCCTGAACAGCAAGTGTTAAGAAATGGGAGTAGAATTAGTTTCTGAGGATAGGCACTGCCTGCTGCATCTTACCATAAATTGAGCCAATTTATCTCCATGGAAACCTTTGAAGATTGTGAAAGTACAGAAGGAGAGCAGCACTCTGAGTGTAATTTATTTCCTTTCAATCTGTTTCTTTTTTTTTCTTGTTCCTGTTCACAAGCTTCTCCTCTTTCCTTTTTCTTTTCCAATCTTTCCCTCCCATCTTTACAAGATTCTCATGCATGAAGACCTGGCCTAATCCAGAAAGCTGAGGCTTTCAACCTTCCCAGCCCAGCATGCACCCACCTTACCTGTCTTCTTGGCAGTGCACTGATTTCTGTGTTCCAAAACTCAAAACTGGCTTTGGCTAGGCATGGGGTACAATATTATCAACAGGAAACACCTCATTTGGTTATTTGAAAATACTTGTGACCCTTGAATATCCAAGAACCACAATAGACACATTCCAAAGCAGTCTTACTTCCTTTGGTTCTTTAACCCTTTTCTGAAACTCATGCAAGAAGTTGTTGTGAAAATGGTTGTTCTGCTTGTGTGGGCACAGTACAAAATACCCAAACCTCTGGGGAAGCAGGAACCTCTCTTCATGTCTCAAGTGAACTAACATTATCTCCTAATCATAGTTCACAAGCGTTACAGAAAGCAATTTGAAATGTCCTCATTCCACTAGTTTGAGTGACTGCTCCTCCAAATTGAACCCAGGGTGTTTGGGACTTGGCTTTTTACATGTGGAAGAAAAAACAGCTGAGATTCCCAGCATTGGCTCAGAACACGTGGGAGGGTCCTCCATTGTAGAATGGATTGGGAGAAATCCTGACCAGATTAGCCTTTGCTTAGACTTTTCCTGGAGTTCTGCTGAACCAAGTTAGTCTTTTGCTGCCTATCATATAGTACTGATCCATGGAAGAAAATAGGCATTGCATCTACTGAAGATGCTTCTGGGGCAGATGCAAAGAAGGGCCAACATGGAGGCTGACCCAGAGCCTTTTCAGAAAGGAGCACTGGCTCATCTGACAGCTGACAATACAATGGAGCAGTTGCACAAAGGAAAAGGCCCACATGGCGAGTATTTGAGTGCACACATGAGTGCCCAGCCTTGTCCAGGTGGTAAGGAACCGAAAGATCTGAGCAGTGGGAACATGAGGTTAAGGGAATAAATCTATATACTGGGTCCACTGAGCTGACCTCCATATACTTTCTTTTTTAAAAAGCAATATACCTGGGGGCTGGGGTTGTGGCTCAGCAAGAAGCGCTCACTTAGCACGTGCGGGGCACTGAGTTCGATCCTCAGCACCACATAAGAATAAAATAAAGGTATTGTGTCCAACTACAACTGAAACAAAAAAAAAAATTTAAAGCAATTTACCTGCAGCCCTGCCTGCTTTAAGTTGATAGGCTACCTTACATTCCTGTTATCTGCATAAGAAATGCAGGACCAAAATGCTGTTAAAAAAGAACACAAGTTACCTCAAAAGGGGAGACTTTTGTGACTCACACACATACCAGATCCCAGAATTTAGGAAGATAAGGATAATTCCCCCTAACCATAAAATACGTAAGAACAGGTTCCAACTGAAACAGTCCTTGTGGGTCAAAACGACCTAGAGATGTCATGCACAATTGGGACTTGAAAGGCTCATATCATCCTGCTATCAGTCAAAAGTCAAGAGGTTGACCTGATTGTGACTTTCTAGAAACCACCCTGGAACCTCCAAATAAAATTGGAGGGCAGGAGAGGCCTGCCTTCCTTCTCTTTAGAGAAGACACACTCTCCATTCAGAGTGTTCCCTTTCTCTACCTTTCTAATAAACTCATGCCCGTTATTCTGAGCAACGTTGTCTCAAGCCTTTGTGGCATGATTTCAAGAATGGGGTAAAGGAGAACCCCCTTGCTGCCTCAGTTTCATGGTAGGCCTCTGCCCTGTAACATAGGCACAACCTGCCTGCTGGGCTCCAGTGCAGATGTGCCCAGAGGAAGATGACAACGGTGTGAAGACAACCATTGAACAGAAAACACACTGCACCGTCCCACCCTTACCTAAGGGCCACAGACTGGAGTAAGGATGTGAGAGCTGGCAGAAGGGCCTCTCAGCTTAACCCACCCCGTCCTAGGGGAAGAACTACACCTCTACTAATTGGCCCCTTTCTCTCCTGGACTTCTCCACAGATTCTGGGCGGGGATGAAGGAGAGGCCGAGACCAGGAAGAAGCGCTTCTGGCATCCTGAACCCCTGCTTAGGCGGAGCGCCTTAGTCGCTAGTTCCAGTGTCCAACGGTTCCTGGGGCGGGAGCGCTGGGTAGAGAAAGGGGCGCAGAGATCTCGAAAACAGGCATAGCTGGGGCGCGTGCGCGCTTCCCGGAGTGCCAGGCGCCGCCCGCGGGCAGGGAGAGGTGGGCGCCTGGGCGGACGGCGCCGGGCGGGAGACTGGGCGTGGGGAGGGCGGGGCGGAGGAACTGGGGCCCGCCAGCCTCCTCCGTTCCGCAGCCCTGCAAGCACGAAGGCTCCGCGCCATCCCTTGGCGCCAGCCGTGCATCTTCATCCCGATCCTCTGTGGAGGGGTCAGAGTCTCCACCGTCCCGGACCACAAAGCCTTTCTCCTTCTTGGTCAGAGAAGCCCGCGGGGCGCCCTGGCGAGATTGGGGCGACTTGCTTCCTTCACCTCCTGAATGGCCCCTTCCTGCGCTATAAATGCCAGCCGTTACGTTGGGAAAGCCTCCAGACTTCATCCCTAAAATCAGTCCCTGCAGGGCGTGGCCGGAGTGCTGTAGTGGAGCGGCCCTTAAGAGTTGGCCTGGGCTGCTAGTGACTCCCGTTTTGTGCCTGAAGACAGCGAGGAAGAAGGGAGGGTAGAACATCCTCTCGAGGATGCCTTTAAAAACTCATCCACAGCAGCGGTAGAAACAGTTTTGTTTGGCTTTGTTTTTTTTTTTTATTTTATTTAGTAGTTTTGTTTTGTTTTCAGTGAAATGCTATTTTTGTTCAAAGAAGAAATGGCCCTCCAGGAACTCACCCAGCGACTGGCCACAGTGATCACTCATGTCGGTAAATGGAGCTATTTTACCTTGTGTTTTACTAATGGAGGGTGGGGGCGCACTCTCTGGGCTGTCTGCTTACCCTCAGCCCAGCGGCAGCGCCCTCCCTGGGCTGGTGCTGGTGCGTACCTGCATCTGGCCTTCAGGCCGCGGGATCTGGTGGGGCGGCCAGTGATAGGCAGCCTGGGAGCGCGTCGCTGGCAGCTCTGGGGCCCTCACATCTGGCAGGGAGGCGGAGGCTGCGAGGCAGGTGGTTGCCAAGTCGGTTGAGCCCTAAACCTAGAGCTACTGGACTATTGCGATCGGTTACCCACTTTTGACCCGGCGAGGTCAGGGTTGGGGAGTTGTTTGGTGGTTTATTTGTATCTAAAAAGGGGAGATCATTGGGGTGGGGGGATACACGAGGAATGTGTGCTGGTGCGTTCCAGACGAATATATGCCAAGTCACTGAAGGCTTGTTCATAAATAAGAGCAGGGGGTTGCCGGTTAATCGCAGCCTGCATCTGCTTGTTACTGCACCCTGCTTGTTACTGTACCCTCCTTGTTACTGTACTGCCCAGAGATGTAAGCACCCTGCCAGTGAACCCCGTAAGAAACCTCTTCAAGCCAAAGGAGATCAAGCAAGTCTGATCTCCTTCTATGAGCTAAAATGGGAAGCAAAACACTCATTCCTTGTCCCCGAAATACAGGTTGTGCTGAAAGGACAGGCCCTATGTTGTAATCGAAAGAAGACATTGTGACAGTTGTCAGTTAATTCTTTCTCAGCATTTTCTTCCTTCGTCACTGCCCTGAGCCTCCCCCAATAAAGACACATATACAGGTTCAGAACTTTTGGATGTGGGTAACTTCAATTATTTGGGTAATGTTCTCTGTTGCTGACTGCTTTCACACTCGTTTGTGAAATGCAAGTCAGTTTTTATTGATAAAGCTAGAAAGGGTTTGCCTCAACCTTCTATACATTTGTTAAAATGCTTCTTTGGTTCCAGTATGTTAAATATTTCTTCTATTAGCGAGCCACTCTTATTCTTTGAGTAACCTAGTCCAATGTGTTTGGTGCAATAATGATGCATATCTCAAATGATAGAATTGTGGAGATATACTTTGTAGATATGTTTTATACTGAAAGGCTTAGTTTTAAGAATTGAGCTTTAAAAAATATTTCTGGTGCCAAATGTGACCACTGAATTTTTTTTTTTTTTAATACTGGGAATTGAACCCAGGGGCACTTTAATACTGAGCCACATCCCCAGCCCTTATTTTGTATTTTATCTAGAGAGAGGATCTTGCTGAGTTGCTGAAGCTGGCTTTGAACTTGAGATCCTCCTGCCTCAGCCTCCCCCCGCAGCTGGGATTACAGTGTGTGCCACTGTGCATGGCTGACCAATGAATTCTTAAGATAGAAGGTTAGAATAATTCTACCAGGGACCACTGAATGTGAAATATTGCGGAAAGCAAGATGAGAGAAGAAAAAAAATCTAATAAAATAGAATTTGGTATTTCAAATATGCTGTTAAATATATTGAATGCTCTATTAAACACAGTTACCTGTCACATAATGATGGGAATATGCTCTGAGAAATGTTAGGTAATTTTGTTTTTGTGGGAACCATGTAGCATATATGTACAAACACATAGATGGCAATGAGGTCACTAGGCCATATAATTTTATGGGACAAATGGAGTGTACAGTCTGTTGGTGACCAAAATTTATGTGGTACATGACTATATTGGTAAATGTTTGAGGTTGTGGTATAGGGAAATGGCAGTGTCCTAGTGGTGTGACCATCCAAATTTGGATGTTTTCACTTTCATTAGTGAATCTCAAGTTGAAAAATAGAAATGCATAGCTTTGAAGATCAGTAAGATGTGGGTAAAAAATACTATCTAAATTGTGATTACACATATGCTTCAGTTACTGGTCATATCATTGATCCCTTTACCACTGAAGATCTTGGGCAGATCTTAGGACTCTCTTCAAGTGAAATCTGAAGTTAAATGCAGAGAATGATCTGGATGATTACTAAATCTTATTAAGACTGCCCCCATTTCTCCAGATGTAGGATAGTCTTGAAGATCTGGTAGGCAGTATTCCTTGACTAACACCAGGTTGTGTGTGGTGTTCAGGCTATGGTATTCTTGCCCTTTTTGCTGCCTCCTTTCTTCCCTAGCCAGCTCCATGCCAGATATAGATACGAATTTGCTGTAGTTTCTGCTCCCAAAGAACTCCCAATGGCCCCTGGCAAATGTGTGCTTTGGAACATTCTGTCTTCTCATATATAATCCCATAAACCTGTGAAATGGGTGGGATATATATTTTTATCACCATCTTAGAAATGAAAGAATTGCAACTCAAAGGGTGCTATGATTTGAATGTCCCCCCCACCCCCACAAAAAAAGCAGGTGCAACAGAGTTGGTAGTTGAGGTCTAATGGGAGGAATTTAGATCATGACCTTCACCCTCATGAAGGGATTAATACTAATTACAAAAGTACTTGGGACTATGGGTTTGATTTTTGCCATTCAGCCTTGGGATGATGGAACATGAAAGTCCTCACCAGATGGGGCCTCTCAACCTTGGACTTAAACCTCTAGAATGCTAAGAAATAAACTTATTTTCTTTATAAATGTCCCAGTCTGTGGTATTCTGTTATAGCAGCAGAAAATGGACTGAGATACTGACACAAAAAGAAAAAAAATCTGAGTAGACCTATAACAAGTAAAGATACTGAATTAGTAATTTTTAAAAGACCCTTCCCACAATGAAAGATCAGAACCAGATGTCTTTGTTAGTGAATTTTATTATATACTTAAAGAAGAATTAATGGCAGTTCTTTGACAACTCCTTCATGAAGAGGTTGGAATTAGGTACCAACTCATTTTATGTATTACCCTAATACCAAACCCAGACAAAAACACACAAGAAAACTGCAGGTCAGTATCTCTTAGGAATATAAACACAAGGCCAGGTGCAGTGGCACACACCTGTAATCCCAGTGGCTCAGGAGGCTGAGGCAGGAGGATCACAAGTTCAAACCAGCCTCACAACTTAGTGAGGCCCCAAGCAACTCAGTGAGACCCTGTTTCTAAATAAAAATATAGAAATGGGCTGGGGATGTAGCTCAGTGGTAAAGCACCCCTGGGTTCAATCCCTGGTACAAAACACACACACACACACACACACACACACAAGCCCCAGCATAATTCTATCACCAAGCAACATATAAAATGATTATGTACCATGATCAAGTGGGGCTTACCCTAGGAATGCAAGGTTGATTTAACATCTCAAAATCAAATGATGTATATCAATAGAATGAAGGATAAAACCCACATAATCCTCTCAGTAGAGGCAGAAAAAGCATTTGACAAAATCCACCAACTTTTTAAATTAAAAGCAACAACAACAAAAGCAAAATTGCTCAACAAACTAGAAATAGAGGGGAGTTTCCACAACCTGATGAACAGTTTTTATGAAACGTCCATAGTTAAAGTTAATGCATTGACAGGGTTGCAAGCCAATCCTGGCACAAATGTGGTAGGTCTTTGGAGAAGTATTTGAATTCTCACCACTGGAGTCACACCTCTTCTTTGTCCACTACAGTGATGAAGACAGACATTGAGAACTGGAACCCAGCTGCTGAGCATGGCCGACTGTGATGTGGCTTTCCCATTGTTGGTGACAGCTTACAAAACATGGAGGAGGGGAGTGTTTGGGGCTAACCATGGTGTTTACTCTCCTGTTCTCCTGGAGGACCTCCCACTGAAGGTTTCACATTTCAGAGGTGTCTGCAGGTTGTGAAGGAGGGAGCCTTTTAGCCCAGGCTTTGATTTTTTGCTTTTAACTAAACATTCCTAAAGGTCCAGTGTAGCATGCTGGCCTACACAAACCAGAATTCCACTTACTGTCTGCCTTTAGGAAAGCCTGTGGGGTTAACAGCTTGTCTAAGGGGACAGATTCCAAGCAAGATGCTAGACACTCCCAGTAGGAGCTTAAATATTTAAATTTTAGCCATTTAAAAATACCAATGAGAAAAATCCTTGATCACTTTCTCCTTTGGTTCTAGAATAGGTCTTTTCTGGGATGACAGATATATACATCACCTAATACGCCGGCAAGTGCTTAGATGTAAACTACAACCAGACATAAGGGGGAGGGAGATGCAATGAAACCAGCTTCTCTGTTCTGTGTTGGTTTTCTACTGAAAGGTATTTAAAAAAGAAAGTGAACATTTATTGAGCATCAGGCCCTTTCATATGTGCCTTTTTATCATTTTTACTTCAGAGAGTAGGTACTATTACTCGTATATTGATAGATGACAAAACTAAGAATAAAAAAACCAATTAAGGAACTTGCTTAAAGCCACAGTGCTTCCAACAGGGGGAGTCAGGATTTGAACTCAAGTCTTGTTTTACAGTTGATGTGTTCTCCATTGTATCAAAATGAATAATTTTACTGCTACCTGTCAATAATTAATTTTTACAGAGTATTTATGTTAATTTGGTATTGAGGAAAAATTTCTGCTTTCCCACACAATTGTCTCCTCCCTAAGGACAGAGACAAAAACTCATATTTAGTCTCTAGATCTAGCTCATAATGGCTCTATAAATGAAAAAGCTCTTTTTCTGTTTGTTTGATTTGAAATGGGTTGGAGAGGGCCCCTTTGGAATCTATCCAATCTATTTACTAGCCTCTCTGGGTTTCAGTTCCATTTGTGATTCTTCCCACTAGCAGTACTTCATTTGCCTGCTTTCTGAACCTCCAGGGTGTATCCCAAGCTCCCGCCCCCCACAGTCCCCCCAACCACCACTGCCACCCGGAACCCTTAGCAGAATAGCCCTTTGCCACCCCCACGCCAGTTTTCCCTCCTTTTCTGAGTAGCTGCAATAGTTGATGTCTATCTCATGTGTGTTTTTCAGTGTTTGATTACAGTCTGGCTTCAAATATTTCTGTGTTCCAAATATTGATACCTGTTTGATTCTTGACTGAACTCATACTACAGTCTTTTCTTACAACATGACAATGTCTTACTTAAGTGTCACAACTAATATTGCTTTGTGACCCTGTAGGTTAAATCAGCTATATAAAAGTTAAAGATTAGGAATCAGGTGTTTAACTGAATGCAAAAGAAGTCTCAGAATGTCTCCTGAATTTCCTCATCTGTAAAGCAGGGTGATGATTAAGCCAGTCAATTTGTTTATTTCACAAGTTGGAATTATGCTATGTAGTTACAAGTGGTTCAGAATAAACTTTGAGACTATTGCAAAAAGAACTCGGGAATCTGGAATGGCTTCAGTTGTTTGCTTTGTGGACTAGCAGGGGAAGCGTGAAAGGAGTGTTGTATTATTCTGCCAATCTGGTTAAGAGGCCTACTCTCCCTGGTTCCCCCTAGTTCTTACTAAAAATTGCTATCTGAACAGATGTGCTTGTCTTTGCAGGAACACAAATTGCAACAGAATGGCTTGACTGCCTGTAGGAAGATTGAGCAGGGTCAATGTGGGTAGAGTAAGTGAGGTAAGGCTGATAGAGTATATGAAAAGACCCCAGGTCCCTGGCCTTGATTGACCCTGGCCACAGCAGTAATTGTGGGAAGCTGCCTGGAGTGAGTGTGGAATAATCTAAGCTGGAAATTCTTACCATTCTCCCTGCTTCTTCCTTTAGAAACTGGGGCTGCCCAGGGGCACGGCAGAGAGGGTAGTTCAAGGCCTTTAAGAACATACCTCTTGGAGCTGGGGTTGTGGCTTAGTGGTAGAGTGCTTGCCTAGCATGTGTGAGGCACTGGGTTTGATTCTCAACACCACATATAAATAAATAAAGATCCATCAACAACTAGTAAAATATTTTAAAAAATACATACCTCTTGTGTTCGTGGATGTAGTAAAGCCATCGTGGGAGAGGGCTGCTGTCCTATATTTTATTGTTACTGTATAGATAGCTTGAGTCATATGAAACTCTGGATCTGGACTGTGTGTGTGCAACTGCTTTAAAGTAATTCGAATCAGAAACTTTGGCAGATTTTCTTGGGAGAGTCTTCCACACCTCTGTCAGAAATAGGATTTGTCTGTTTTGTTTTACTCTTTCTTCTACCGGTTGTGGGTCTTTTCCTGTGTCCCCTGATCCTCTCTCTTCCCCAGAAACAAAGGATCTGTGGGGGTTGGCAAGGAGGCCTGTGAACTATCAGATAGGAGGAGAGTTTGAGACTCAATCTATGCTATTAAGGAACAGACCCAAAAGTTAAGTTGATCCCCTGTCAATCGCCAATACAGGCAATTCCGTTATAAGAGTTTGGATGCAGAAGTTGTGAGCTGCTGTGGCTAAAGAAAACTCTTTTAGAGATGTATGACTTGAGCTGGATCTTAAAGGAAGGTGAGAGTTCAGGCAGGTGGAGCGGGGAGGCTCTCTAATAAGGGAAGGGAGGGGAACAGCCACTTTGGTAATTTGCATTGGTCTTCCTTACTGGTTGTCCTGGTTGGTTTATTCTCTGCTCAGGCCTCCAAGGTCAATGACCCTTTCCTGCACAACTGAGAAACCCTGAGCTTTATCTTAACAGAAGGAAAGAGAGAAGGAAAGAAGAAAGAAAAGTGAGAGAACAGAGATCTACCTTCTAGCCAGTCTTCGTACAGATCATTTTCTGGAGTAAAAAGGGAGGAGAGGCTGGAGGGACATGAAAAAAATATATTTAAAATGATGTGATAGCTATTGTTCATTTCCTGCCTGTTCAGTATCACGTATTATGATTTATATACATTTTTTACTTAATTAAACTTAATTAGAAGTGCAGCCCATGTTTATGAAGGAGGAATTGGAAGCTTAAACAGGTTAGAAAATTCTCCCAATGTAATTCAGTGTGGAGGGGGAAAAATTGAAGGAGGTCTGGCTGGCTTTCAGGCCTGTACATCATCATGCTTGGCTTAATTTTCCATTACAGAACCACATATGAACCAGTAAATGGAAGAAGTGTTAATAGTGAATTTAAAAGTGTTTTTTTTTTCAAAAGCCTAACAGAGCTGACAGCATTAGTCCTTTAGTGTATTTTATAAGCCACTTGAAATGTTGATTTATTAATGGTTACTTTCTTCCAAAGAAACACTGTCAGTTAAACTAAAGAGTTTGTTTTGTAGCCTTTAAACATGCAGAGGTAATAAATATGAATGCTCAGGTAGAAAAAAGTCTTTATTAAGGAAGAAATTTTCAGGAGTGTTGCTTACTTTCATTTTCTAGACTAAGTACCAGAGTTTTAAAAAAAAAAAAAAAAGTCATAAGGTTGTAACCTCTTGTTACAGTGGCAAGGTGACAGCTCTATGATGCACTTTTATTTAGTGAAGAAGACTCTGTATTTAAAGGACTTTTACTGTGAGGGAGATTCAAATGCAGGGCATATACATGTGGACACCTACAGGTCCTAATATCTGAACATGGTGGGTTAGAGAATCTAGTTAATTGTGAATTTCTTTGTTCAGTTATCTGATCCCAGACCCTCTTCCAGCCCAAGTTTGGGTTTGAGTGTCTGGTTTTTTTCAACCTGCTATCAGATCAATTTAAATTCATTTTAGGCTTTGTTTTCTGTTCCCCAGGAAACTATAATTAATTCACTGAGTGAAAAGAGATACTTGTGCATGTTTTATCTTATTTAACCCCTAATTTATGACTAACAACATTCACAAGGGCCTCTGGGAGCTTGGCTCTGGCCAGGGTTGTGGATAGGGCATGAAGGAGTGGGCATGACCCCTGCCTGTGGCCACAGTCCTCCATGAAGTTTAGGCCCAGGCCTCTGCCTTCACTGCTGCAACCCCAGTGCCCTGCATGGCTCGTTAGATGTGCTGGGGGCTTGGAGAAACGACTGAATGAATGTCCTTCTGGAGCCTGCAATCTAATGGGGGAGACAAGCATCCAGCAAACATAAGTTAGACCAAGTCAGCCACCATTCATTCCCCAGTTCCTCATCCCAAGCCTGCACCAGGCTCACCCCCAGCATTGGACTTATCTTCTGTGCTCCGCTGGCCTCTCTGCTTCTGGGATTTCACAGCTGCTGTCTTTCTTTGGCACCTGATTGATTTAGTAGCAAAACCCAACTCTTCCTCAGTAACTCAAAAACCATCTACCCAGAAGATAGGAAGATGCAGGGGAATTTTCTAAAGATGGAAGAGGAAATCTTATGATCTAGCAGCACAGACACTTTGAAATGCAATTGGAGGGATTCTTGTCCTAAAAGTGTCCTCTGGCTACCTTAGCTGCTGAGGGTTTCAAGGATCTGACCTTCCCTTTTCTGTGACTTCCTTCTCCTACCTCCTTTTCTTCTTTTTCCTTCTCCACTAGTGAAGAAGGGTTGGTTGTTACTGAAAAAATGGGCCTCAGGAGCTTTTGCATTTTCAGGCTTCTGCTTTTTATTCTGTTTTGTTTCCAATGTGTTATTTATCCCTGTAGCAAGCAAAAGAAACTTTGCTTAAAAGGGAGAGAAAAGCCCAGAAGCTGTGAAATGGAGTTTTAGACCTTGACATATGGTGCAGAAGTAAGAAGGAAAATTCCATTACAACCTGATTTGCCCTTCATGTACGGGGCAAGCATTTTCTCCTTCGGTGTCTTGAGATAACTAACCCAGATTTTAAAGAGAAAGATCATGTTTCTTGGTTATTTTCTGAGGATTTTTGTATAATCTTAAAGAAGCAGAAGAAATAGGGAGGAGAATGAACATTATGTGGTATTTCATAAGGGCTTTAAAAACAAAATTAATACATGGTCTGTGTTTGTAAGAGTCAATATAAATATGTTAATTCTTCCTAAATTGATCTATAAATTAAATACAACTCTAATCAAAAAGTCTATTAAACATTTTTGTAAAAACATGGAACCAGCTAAAAGCTACTATAATAGGCAAAAGGAATTATAATTGCTAAAGGTTTTTTTTTAAGTACTAATTTAGAGGACTTATACCACCTAATTTCAAGACTTACTATAAGGCAGAGAGTAATCAAGACAGTATGGTTTTGGTAAAAGGATGAACATACATATCAATGGAACAAGGGAGAGAATCCAGAAATAATACCACACAGATGTGACTTATTGATTTTTGACTAAGGCACAAAAGTAATTCACTAGGGAAGGGTATAAAGCCATTTTCAACAAATGGTGCCGGAATAACTTGATGTCTATGTGCAGGAAAAAAAATGAGCCTCATTCTATGTATGCCTCACCTCATATACAGAAATTAACTCAAAGTGATTATGGATCTAAATGTAAAACCTAGTTTATAATCAGGAAGAAGACATAAAAGAAAATCTTGTGATCTTGGTTGGACAAAGATTTCTTAGGACAACACTGAAACTATAGTACCTCAAAGAAAAATTTGATGGATTATTCTTCATCAGAATTTATTTTTTTGATACAAGATCTGTTAGGAGAGTGAAAAGACAATGTTTCAACTGGAATAACTACTTGTGAATCATCTAACAAAGGACTTCCATCCAGAATATTTAAAGAACTCTCAAACTTAACAATAACTGTGCCAAATAACCAAACATTAAAAAAGGGCAAAAAATTGAGAGGACGTTTTACTAAAGAAGATACACAGAGGCAAATAAATATTCAAGAATATGCTCAATATCATATTGCATACCTAGTAGAGTGGCTAAAAGTGATAATACCAAGCCATGACAAGGGTAAGGGGGGACTGGATGTCTGACATACTGTTGGTGGGAATGTCAGATGGTACTATCACTCTGGAAAACAGTCAGCAGTTTCTAACAAAGTTAAACATATGCTAGGTGAAATTTCATTTTTTTTCATGAACTTTAAAAAAAATTCTTAACTGAAAATCTTTTAAAATTCTTTTAAATAAACTTTATAATCATTTTTTAAATTCCCTTTATCTCTACAGACAGATTAATGACAAACTTCAGTTATACTTTAAAAATAAAGGAAAAAAGAAACAAAAATCCAAACTAATGACCAGGCCCCAAAGAGAAAAGGTCCCATTCATGGACTTCCACTGCAAATCAGAGAGAGTTAACACAAAGGTTGTGGATACAACACCTACAAGGGGTCTCAAGCTAGATAGCTCTAGGACACTTTGGCAAGTGAAGACTGTGCCCTAAAAAGGCCCACACATTAGAGTGGAATAGAAATCCCTCCAACACCTACATAAAACCCAATACAGGAATAAAAGTAATATGAAAAAACAAGGTAACATGACACCTCCAAAAGTTCATAATTCACCAGCAACTGACCCCAAACATATTGAAGTGGATGAAATGTCTGATAAAAAAATTCAAAAATTCAAGAAAATTTAGAGGTGAAATGATTGGGTAATGAGAGTTTTTACCTAGTCAGTACATTAATCTCCTGATAGGAATTAGCTGGGTAATAACAGTAGTCAGGTACAGTGTGGCTGGAGGAGGTGTGTTTTTGGGGACATGCCTTCGGGGTCTGTATTTCATCTTTCTCTGCAGAGTCCCTTTCTGCTTCAGGACGTGGTATCCTGAGCTGCTTTCTTCCACCACACTCTTCTACCATGATGTTCTGCTTCACCTCAGTCCTAGGGCAATGGAACTGGCTCTCTGGATAGAAACCTCTGAAATTGTGTGAGCCAAATAAGTTTTTCCTCCTTTAAAATTGTTCTTATCAGGTATTTTGGTTACAGCAGTGAAAAAGCTGACTAAAACAAAGGGTAAAGAAGTTAACATCTATTAAGAAAGAAAGCCTTTCTTAGTTCATTTTCAGCTGCTATAACAATACCCTTAGTTCATTTTCAGCTGCTATAACAATACCTAAGACAGGGCAATTTATAGAGGAAAGAGGTTGATGATTCTGGGAAGTCCAAGAACATGGCAACAAAATCTACTTGACTTCTGATGAGGACCGCAAGCTGCTTTAACTCATGATGAGAAGTGGAAGAACACACAGACATGTGTGAAAGAGGATTGGGATAAAGGGGGCCAGATGCTTTTTAATAACCCACTGTCATGAAAATGAACCTACTGTAGTGGGAATTAATTAATCCTTTCAGGGATGGAGCCCCCATGAATCTCAAATACCTCCTGAAGTCTCCTCCACATGTCAATACTGTTACATTGACAATTAAATTTCAACATGAGTTTTGATGGAAACAAACCACAAGATAACCTCACTGTGTGAAACCAGTACTTTTATATATTGCTGCTGCAAATGTAAATGGATGTAACTGGAAAAAGCAGTCAAACAAATCACAAAGTGGTTGCTTAAGGATTAGAAACCAGGGTTGTCTGGGAGGACATGATAACTTCCGGGGCGATGGAAATGGTCTATGTCTTGAACAGAAAATGGATTACATTGGTATGTCCTTTTGTCAGAACTGTCTGAAATGTATACTCTAGGTATAAACATTTCTATTTTAACCCCCTCAGTAAAAATAAAATGAATAGCATTTTTTAAAAACCCCAGTCTTCCAATATCCCTTTGGCTACTTGCAAACTTTACTGTAAAATTTTAGCTTGAATGATACCAATAAAAACTAGACTATCAAAATTCTGCTTCAAAGGAAATAATAGTTTATTCTGAGCCAAATTTGAGTGATCAAAGCTGGGGAAAATGAATTCAGGTTACTCCAAATTACAGGCTCCATGGAAAAGTTGCATGAATTTTCAGTCACTGAACAAAAGAAAGTCCAGAATCAATTATTTACCAGACACATTGGTAGGATCATCAGATAGGTGGGCTGCAGCAGAGCAGGGACATCTTTTCTATAGGATTCAGATATCATCTCTCTTGTAGTTTTAGGGTTGGTGGAGGCTATGTCAAATTTAGTTTTAGCTAGTAGTCACCAGGATGTTAGGGCAGATACAGAGGTTGATGGTAAGCAGCTATTAAAGGGACTAAATATAGTGCTAGATAACTTTGACTCTTGATCTGCAGCATGCCATCTCTTCACAATCATGGTATCCTGCTGAGCCACCATCAGACATTCTGCAGGCTCTTCAGTATAGATATGGCTTCTTTAGAGAACTTTAGTTCACAAGGCAATTGTATACAAAAGTTATTACTTGCTTAATGGCTATTTCACATTGTGGTCTTTTAAAAAAAATCTTGGAGCACAATAATAATCACATGAAGAACCTACATAAAATGAATTAAGAAAAAGCAGTCTGTCTCTGAGTACACACCATCTGCTTTGCACAGTACAGTTGTAAAAGGTGAACTCACTTTTCCTCACATGATATCAGGTGAAATGTTGGTCACATCATGGGAGGCAAAGAACATTTGTCATGATACTTAGGAGTAGTGTAAGAGATACTGTAAATCCCATTTCAGAATTTGAACCTTATTTTCTGTGCCAACCTAGTTTCCTACTGAGATGGTAAACTCTGTTGTCTGGATTTCTTTTCTTAGCATCATGGAGAGGTAGAAAGGAAAGAAGAACAGAATTGTGACCTGGAAAAAATTACATATATGTTTATATTTTAAGAGCATCCTTTAAGGGGGACACTGGTGGTACACACCTGTGATCCCAGATACTTGGGAGGCTGAAATAGGAGGATCACAAGTTTAAGGCCAGTCTCAGCAACCTAACAAGACCTTGTCTCAAAGTTAATTAATTTAAAAAGGATCATGGATGTAGCTCAGTGGGAGAGTGCTTGCCTAGCATGTACAAGCCCCTAGGTTCAATGCCCAGCATTGCAAATGAATGACTGAATGAATGACTAAACATTTTTAAATTTTTAAAAAATTTATCCCTATTATTGTATTTCAAATATCTTAATGTGTTATGCTGTGATACTTCTAAAAAATAGAAAAATAAAAAACTATGGTCAGCAGCTCTGGCATGTTACTTTCCAACCCAATATCCTTATCCTCTAACTTCCTTTTTTGTCTCCAAATGAGGAAGTCTGGTAATCTGTTGGGACTGTAATCCTGTCAACACTCACCAATCTAAAGGATCAGCTTTCAGCAATGAAATGACCTTGAGTGAATTTCAGAGAGATTAGCCAGGAGAGAGGATTAAACACACTATGTGAATGCAGGGCCTGGAACAGAATGGAGAGCGTGCAAGGGGACATTGATTCCTGGCATCCCATGGCTGCCCGGTGCGCAAGATGTGACAAGCCAGACCCCATATGCTTACCTTACACCTTGGTGCGGATAACGGAGGCAGAGATGAGAGCGTATCACCGTCTTCTAGGAAGCTGCGTCAGGCTAGAATGTAGGGCACAAGAAGGTACCTGGAGGGTGGGGAGGCATTTGTTTTATGTATATTTGGTCATTTATCCTCATCTTAGCAGATGAATGCTTGAGCTAAGAAATTTTATATTGAAAATTATTAACTTTGTAATTTTCTTGCTGAGTCTAAAAATGATTTTTAAAAAGGTATCATTCAGCTTTTACAATATTTATTGAGATAGAGTCATAGTAAAAAAAGATGATCAAATATTCTGAAAAAAAAGTCAAGCTGCAATGTAGAGTGTATAGGCGTGAGCTTATTTTAAAAGCATAGATATATGTGTACATAGAGGTGTACATATTGGATATTACATACAATAACTGATTTGTTTTGGGTGAAACAATGATGTCTTCTTATTTTTGTTCAGTTGTATTTTCTATTTTAAAAAGGAACTAACATATAGCACTTTTATAAAACGAAAATAAGAATCCAGGTTATGGAATTCGTGTTCCTTAAAAAAAAAATCATTAAGTCTAGAAGACTTTTCGATAGATTCATGAGCTGGTAACAGATTTGGTCTGAGTAGGAATTTCCATACATTGCAAGCCAGTAAGACTGCTCTAAGAGCTGAAACAACTACTTGTTTCTTAGAACAAGTAGTCAGGCTGCTTCTTTTGTGAATGGTCTTATTGCTATACTCCCAGGTTTCTTTCTTTTTTTTTTTCTTTTTCTTTTGCCTTGAAAATATTTTAATATATTTATTCCCTGGGATTATAGGGTAGAAGAGGTATTAAAGCAAATGTTTCTGTCTCTTCCATTATTTTTTTCAAATCTTTTTTTCTTTATAATTTTTATTGGTGCATTTTAACTATATATAATAGTAGGATTCATTGTTTCTCTCATTTTTCTTTATTTACATATGAAACCTGGGTTCCTAAATGGAGAAGTGTGCTTTTAAAATAAATTCATTGCAGTATACTTTCTGATTGACATATGATTCATGCTCATACTGTATTCATATACATGTATAATATATAATATAAATACTATATTTTCAAGAGCAAGGATACTTTATATTTGCTACTTATGAAAGGAAAATTATAAATCAGATTTTCTATTTCATACTTAAAACATGTGTTCAACTATACACACAAATATCTTTACAGGGCTTGAATTTAGGTAAAAGTTATTCCTCAAATTTTACTAAAGTTAAATCATAATTATACACCTCCAGTTTTGTTAATAGTGAGGAAAAGATGTAATTTGAAAGAATAAAAGAATTTCTGAATTCTAAGCTTGCAACATTACAGACACCATTGTCACTTTCTCCCCCCACCCCCCATTGAAGAAGGCTGTGAAATGTTCATGTATTTGCTTTGGTTCTGAACTATTAATTAATTAATTAATTAATTAATTAATTAATTTGATACCAAGTATTGAACACAGGAGTGCTCAACCACTGAGCCACATCCCCAACCCTTTTTTTATTTTTTGAGTCAGGCCCTCACTAAGTTACTCAGTGTCTCCCTAAGTCACTGAGCCTGCCCTTGAACTTGTGATGCTCCTGCTTTAGTCTTCTGAGCCACTGGAATTGCAGGCATGTGCCACCACACCTGGCTCAACTATTTTATTTTATCTGTGACTCAAAACAGCAATGAATAAACCAATGTATACTTTGTGGTTATCTAAATGGCCTTTCTGATATTACTTTCATCTTAAATTAATGGGATGCTGTCAGTAGACTTTTTGAAATAATACTAATTCCTCTTTAGGAGAATGAAACTCAGGAAATGATCCACTGATTTATGTGTTTAATAACAAAGACCTATATGTCATTGTTGGAGGCCAGCGAGAGTCAGTATTTAAAGGTTTGCTTTTCCATTAACTATTCTCTTTTTAAAGGAAAAAAAAAGTTTGTAAAACATAAAATGAATGCAAACCTATAGTAGAGATAAAGACCTGGATTTCAGTGGATTAGTATATATCATACACTATTCTTGGTCAGAGGACTGTTTTCCTTCAGATTGTTTCGGAGATCCTGGCTACTCCTACTTTGAGAGACCCCGTGAGAGACCCTAGCTGCTCATACTGTATTCGTATACGTGTATAATATATAATATAAATACTATATTGTGGGTCTGCCATCTCACCTCAGAGTTGACACCTTGTAGCTTAGAAGAGGGAAAAGAAAGCGAAGACACACCTATTTCTTTAACACTCTGACTCAGGAGCAATGCTCAACCTATTGGCATTCACTGGCCACATGACCATGACTGACAATGGGTGGGAGATTGAGTCCTTGGCTGGGCAGACACCTACAGTGATAATGCTACTGCGTGGAATAGGAGCTGAGACCTTCTGGTGGGCAGTTAGCTATCTCTGCCTCAATTGCTCAATGTAAAAATATTCAACTGAGAAGTTACTTCATATAAGCATATAAATTAACACAAACGATAATGTTCTATTTTGTATCTAAAATTGAAAAAAAATTAATGTAGTTTGAACTTCCTTTCTTTAGTGCATTCAGGTAGGTCTGATTTCATTTAATGTCTCCACAGTGTTCTATTTTATGGCTGTATCATTATATATTTAACCAATCACCTATTAATGGACATTTGTTATAGACAAACAAATTAATAAATATCTTAGTACATACTTATTTTTGCACTGTTGTTGATATTATCATGGATTAAATTCATGAACATGGAATTTCCTAGCTAGAAGACTGCATATTTAATATTATCCCCAAAAGAATCAACAGATTTTTACCAATTTTGCCTTTACCCATAGAGAACCTGCCTACCCTCTTGCCAACCCTATATGTTATTAATCTTTAAAATAATAACAAATCCATTAGGCAGAAATGTCTCATTTTATTAAATTTAAAAAAGTGAAATGCCGCAGTCTGGCTGCAGCAAAATAACCAGGGAGTGATAAACAACTTGTGTAGATTGATACAGCAGGAGTGGGAGCTGTTTATTGTAGGACGGGAGGGGTATTTATACATTTCACACAGCTTATCTTAATTAACATAAACTCGATACAGCAGTCAACCAATAAGGAATCTCCACACTTAATAGCTCGCTGGAGTTACTTCACAAACCACTCCCTCTGGCAAAATGCCAGGCGCCATCCAGACTTGTTTACAGACTCTAACAGTGAAATGTCTCATTTTGCTTTGATCCTTTGGTTTGAACATATGTTCAAATTTCACAAGTCAAAACCTAAGCCCCAGTGTGATGGTATTAGCAGGCAGAGCCTCTAGGAGCTGTTAGTCATTTGAAGGCTCCACCCTTGTGAGGTAGGATTACTGTCCATCTAAAAGAAGCCTCATCTTTCTGTCCCTGCTGCCACATAAGGATATAGGGTTTATCCCTTTGCTCTTCCACCACATGAGGCAAGAAGGCACCATCGTGGAAGCAGAGACCAAGTCCTTACCAGACATCAAATATGCTGGTGCTTTCATTGTGAACTTCCCAGCCTTTAGAACTGTGAAGAATTTCTATTATTTATTTATTTATATTTTGGTACTGGGAATTGAATTCAGAGGCATTCAACCACTGAGCCACATCCTCAGCCCAATTTTGTATTTCATTTAGAGACAGGGTCTCACTGAGTTGCTTAGCACCTCACCATTGCTGAGGCTGGCTTTGAACTTGTGATCCTCCTGCCTCAGCCTCCTAAGCTCCTGGGATGTACACAGTGTTTGGCTCTATTCATTATAAATTACCCAATCTAAGGTATTTTGTTTAGCAGAAGAAATGATGGAGACATGAAGCTAAATGTGCCTGAGATATATATTCATTGGCTGTGTTTCTTCTGTGAATTGTCTGTTTTGAATTTGTTGTTATTGTATTAATGACTGTTGTAACAAATGACCACCAACTTGATGGCTTACAACAATGGACATTTATTTATTTTCTCAGAATCCCAGAGGCCAGAAGTCTAAAATCAGGCTATTGGCCAGTCTGCTTCCTAGAGGCTCCAAGGTAGATTCAGTTTCTCATCTCTGGTGGTTCTAGGTGCACCATTGCAATATCTATCTCCGTCTTTACCTGGTTGCCTCTATATTTATGTTCCCCTGTTTCTTGGTTCAGTCTCCCTACTCTTCTCACCATTTTGTTACTTGGCCCTTGGCACTGTTTCCAGACAATGGACTTGTTGGAATACAGGGCTGGACGTGGGCGGAGAATGGAGGGCATAGACTGTAAGGGGGCCCATGATAAGCAGTGGGAAGGGCTTGAGGTGTTCTGGAAGGAGAGGTAAGCAGAGTCTCAATCCAGGGTTGCCTTATTGCCTTCAATCAGCAGAGAAGAAAATGTTAAACCAAAAGTTCACACCTTATAGTCCTTTGTTTCAAGAACAAAGGATTATTTTGTTTGGGCAGTAAGAGAAGCAGACTAGTGGACAACCCAACAACAGTTTTCCCTGTGAGCTCCATTTTCATAAGCAATAGGTAAGGATCAAGAACAGGCTTGGCATCACACCATTTTACATGAGACCCTTGAGCATCTGCAGATGTTGGAATCTATGGGGGTCTTGGAGCCAATCCTGCAAGGATGCTGGATTGGATTTAAAACAGTTGAAGTGTTGAGAAAGATATTACTTAGGTTTTAACTTTTCTTTGTTAGATACATACAATGTTTGAAAGATTCAGATATATGAAATTTGTAAATTAATGGCTTTTGCAGATAATGCTGATTATTCACGACTTGTTAAACTTACAAACTAATTGAACATAAATTTTTGAAAAATAGTCTAGGGAGTTGGTATCCAGTGGATACTTGCTTCCAGGTTCACACAGCAGCATTAGGAGAGCTTATAACAAATGTAGAATCTCTGGCTCCCCTCAAGGTACAATGAAGCAATCTACATTTTAAAGATCAGAATGATTTCTGAAGCTCTTGCTTTGGGGGAGTATAAAATACAGATGGAGCACTTTGAAATCTAGTGATAAAACAGAAAATCTTTCTGAAGGGACTAGGCATTTTGACAATCTCTTCCAGGGCCTTGATTGCTTCTTATTACCTAGACAGTGGGGCTTGTTTGCCAATTCTGGAATTATAGGGTTGCTATCAAAGTGGCCAGAATGCTGCTTCCAGTTATTGCTGCCAAAGGGCCTCTTTGCATAGGGTGTTAGTCAGCTTTACGTTACCATAAGAAAATACCTGATAATCAGCTTATAAGTAGGAAAGGTTTATTTACCCTAACAGTTTTAGAGGTTTCAGTCTGTGATTGATTAGCCTTGCTGCTTTGGGCCTGTAGCAAGGCAGCACATCATGGAGGGGAACATGTGGTGGGACACAAAAACGTGGAAACAGAATTCTCCTCTGTTTGGCACTGTTGGGCACTGGGACTTGAGGTACCACTATTCCCTTTGAGTGTAAACCCCCAGTGGCTATAGGCCTTCCACTAGGCCCCACCTCTGAAAGTTCCCACATCTCCCTATAGCACCAAGCTGGGAACTTAGCCTGTAGCACACAGACCACTGGGGGGTGTAGACACTGTAGCACATGGAAACTCCAGCCTCAGCCTCAGGGAAATATTACCTCAGGTCTCATATAAGGTCACAATGTAAAATACCAGCAGAAACTAAGAAGCTCTAAAAAAAATACCAAATTTGACTTTAGTGAGCAAAAAGGAGAAAAGAGATGTGGATACATATTTAAAAACCAGACCTGTATATGTCTAATAACATACCCATTCTGAAAACACTATTTTAAATAGACTCCTCACCAAGATTTGGAAATCCTGGGGCAAGAGTGCAAATTAAAAGCCACATACCACTCTCACTGTTAAATGGAATATATTTTTAGTATATTTTATTTCATATAGCCATATGATCTTATTTATATAGCTTAATATATTTTATTTTCCTCTCTTGACAAAAATACCACCAGAGCGATACAATGTACATATATGTGTATGTATGTATGTGTGTGTGTGTGTGTGTGTGTATATATATATATAGTTTTTATATGACTGAAAATCAGAAAATATCAAAGATGACTGAAGTGAATTATTGCCTGTGGGTGTTGTTGATGGATCAGTGGTCCTTGAATAAATAATGTTTATTCACCCATAAGGTTAGCAGTTACTCCCTAAAATATTTTTTCTCTTGCTTTCATGTCAGCAAAATTGCTATGCTGTTATAATTTGAGATTTTTCACATGATTTTAACTCTGTTGAGAACAGTGATCTAAAATAGCTGTAATCTAAGTAAAAGACAATTGTATTTGATGAGTTCAAAATTTGTGTATATTTGCATCATGAATTAGAAGAAAAAGAAAAGTGAGAATGTTGATGCTTGGTAATACTGGACATGATACTTTATTGTACAAGAATCTACAACATTCATGTCACATGAGAGGAAGTGTTTCACAAGTTGATTACTTTGTCTTTTCTCTTACCTAAGCACTTCCGGTGCTCAGATCCTCCCTGTCCTCTGAAGCAGTGTGTGTCCATGATGTCAGCGGTGGCACAGCCCACAGACCTTCATAACATTTGGATGCAGTCATCTTTTCTTTTGAGGACATAGACCAAGAGATGTGGAGTTCCTCCTTGGGCCTGAGCAGTATAAGAGGGTGGATATGCAGGACTACTGTGTCCCCTGCCAGCGCTGAGCTCTGGATCATGACAGAAGCACCTATGTGGTCTTCCATACAAATGTTTATAGGGGGAGATTGTGCTGTGTGGAGCCCTCCATAGGGCAGGGCCTGGGACAGGGAACACGAGGAAACTTTCTGGGAGGATGAAAATTTTCTGTATCATGATTTGCAATGAGGTTACATCAGTGTATATATTTGTCAAAATTCATCAAGCTGTACACCTAAGATTTGTGCATTTTATTGCATGTAAATTATTCTTCAATAAATATACTAGTGCAAAAAATATAGGTTATCAGAGCACAATTTTTTTCTGCTTGTAAACTAAAGAGGAGTAACCACATGTGGTTCCAACACTTGGACACACTGTGTCATATACCTGGGCACACGTGTACAAACATACCACATACTTTTTTTCTTCAACCTGGCTTCAATGATTTTAGTGTTCTTGGCATTGTATCTTAAATAATTTTCTGTAGATGTGGACTTCATAACTGTATAAACTATTGCTTCCATTTTTTCACTGTTAAAAATAATATTACAAGTCTACATTGTTACATAGAATGTTTTTATTTTATTATGTTCTTGTAATACATTTTTAAGATACAGAATGAATGGCTAAAAGATGATGAAGGTTTAAATGACTATATACTGAAGAGGTGTGTGCATTGGTTAAGATGTTGGGCTTTGGTGTTCAAAACAAGCTGGGTTCAAGTTTGGACTCTGCTTGCCTTTGGACAAACCCCTTCAGAGCTTGTTCATTAACACCCTTAGAGGGGCTGGGGATGTGGCTCAAGCGGTAGCGCGCTCGCCTGGCATGCGTGCGGCCCGGGTTCGATCCTCAGCACCACATACCAACAAAGATGTTGTGTCTGCCGAGAACTAAAAAAATAAAAAAAAATAAATATGAAAAAAATTCTCTCTCTCTCTCTCCTCTCTCACTCTCTCTTAAAAAAAAACAACAACAACAACAACAACAAAAAAACACCCTTAGAGATGTTCTGAGGGTGAAGGGAGAAATTTATATGAAGTGTTTTGTATGGAATCTACTATATAAGTGTTCAATAATCACAGGGTAAAATATTGTAAAACTATTTTCTGAAAGGACACTGCTGGCCTCATTTTCTGAGTTATACAGAAGTACTAGTTTTCCAACATAAATCCAGCAATGTATGTTAGAATCTCAACTATTTTATGGATGAAATAAGATACAAGGGGGCTGGGATTGTAGCTCAATGGTAGAGTGCTTGCTTGGTATGTGTAAGGCTTTGGGTTCAATCCCCCAGTACTAAAAATAGAAAAAGAAAAAGGAAACAAAGAAATGAGATGAAGGTTGAGTATCCCTTATCTAAAATTCTTAGAACTAGAAAGTGTCTCAGATTTCATATTTTTCATATTTTAGAAGATTTGCATATACATAATGAGATATCTTAGGGATAGGACCCAAGTTGAAACATGAAATTTATTTATTTTCATATACACCTTATACATGTAGCCTGAAGTTAATTTCATACAATTTTTAAAAATAATCTTGTGCATGAAACAAAGCTTCATGATGTGGGTCTTTTCACTTGTGGTGTCATTTCAGTGCTTAAAATGTTTTGTATTTTGTATTTTCAGATTAGGGATGTTCAATCTGTATTCAATTGCTTTTTAAATTCCATTAACCGACTGCTAGGGAATCGGATATTGTTTTAGTGTTCTTGATTCTTAAAAACTTTAAAGTTCCTCCAAAAATTATTCTGTCTACTTTTCAAATGTCTTTTGTTCATTCTTAATTAGTGGACAAGACTGTGACACTGAAGTTGTTGGTCTGGGTCAGGTTTAGCATCACTGTAGCACAGGACAAAGTCCAGAAAGGGAATGTATTTCTCCATCAGTAAGATGGAAAAGTGAGTGCCCTCAAGTGGCTTTGCACCAGCCCAGCAGCTGGTTTCTCTTAGCTTCTTGTCCCCAGATGTTTCCTGGGAAGTCAGGTGTGATGTAGTGGGCATGGGAGGGCAGGGCTGGTGGGAGGGGCTCACTTGAGTAGCTAGGTTTATCCCCTTTCTGCCATTATTTAAGTAAGTAAACCAATTAATCTGTAAAGTGTGTTGTTAGTGCCTGGCTCACAGCTGGTGCTGTACTGGTGCTATTAACAGAGGACTGTGAGTGACACAATACCTAGGAATGGAGATCCTGGTCCACTGCTGATTAGCAGTTGCTACAGATGCAGGTGTTGAGGCCTAAGTGACAGACCCTTCTGTTGCATCTGTCCACCTGATTCTCTGGGCAAAGCACTGGATGTCACTGGATCTGCCACATCTGGGGCTACTGTTCTTCTCTGGTCCAGATTATTTAAAAAAGTTAATCCCCCCCACACACCACCACCACCATACTTGTGTCTTTTAGATCACAATGAGACAAGAATTTGAGAACATCAAGAGTGGGAGGCTCAGGGTCTCACTGCCCTTCATTCCTTTCCAGTCACATCACTCAGCACCTAGATAGTCTCAGCCCGTTTCCTGCCCTCTACTGTGAGCAGTGTGGTTTCATCATTAGTAAACAAAGGTCCTGCTCAGAGTTCATGTTTCCATCTCAGTTTGAGAAGTGGGTGACCCAGGGCTGCTGCTCGCTGCCTACATCTGGATTCCCATGGAACATGCTGGACTATTATTGTCATCTAGGAGGCCAGAGGCTGTGTAAGGCCTTTCATACTTTCTGTACTTCTCAAATCTTAGGTAGGGTAAAAGATAGTCATGCTTCTATACACTTACTGGAGATAGAAAAAAGCATTTTTTTCTAGTATATTTGTAACTTTGCCCAGGATAGAAATTGGGTTGAATCAGAGTTAATGCTTCCCTTTTGTCTCCTGTGGCTTATAAAGAGACAGGTTTCTCCCCTAATCCCTGTCCATCAAAAGTATCAAAAAACAAGCGAGAAGCCTGCATGCTGGACAGAAGGCCAGGGTAGATGTGAAGCAGGCACCCAACCCTGGAGGATCATCTTTGGTTATGTTCAGCTCTTCCTGAGAGAAGGAAATTCATTCCCAGGAGAGGACAACGAGACTTACAGTGTTCTTGACTTGGTTGCCCTGCTAGAAGGTGACAGAGAGGGTCTTTGTATTCGGGGATGTCTGTATCTGAAGCTAGGACTTTTCCACTGCAGCTGGATGAGTTCCTTTAGGACCAAGGAACTTGGGTACTTCTCCTGACTCCACCTATATGGGAGGGTAAGTCCTGCCAACAGCAGGGCTGGCCCTGTGTCTGTTGGTACAGAGCATCAACAGGCCTTGTTTAGAAGGCCAGTACTGAGCATGCCTCTATTCCAGCAGGCCCACAAATCTCAGGCATCACTAAAGTCGAGTGTGTTGGTAGTCCTCACCTCTGAGTCAGATGCCAAATCTAAGAAAGCTCCTGATCTATTGCAGGTGGCCAACTTGGGTCACATGGCTTCTGTATTAGGAAGACTTCAAGAGTAAATAACATCATTGCCAGACTGGGGGCCAGGCATGATCAGCAAAACCTGGGCCAGAGATTCACCAGCTCATTTCTATTCTTAGAAAGAAAAATCACAACTTTTAATCTTGTAAATGAGATAGCCACATGAGGCCATTGAGAAGATCTGTGCGAACCTCAGATTCCCAGGCTAAGGGCTGCTAGTCAGCCTCCCAGAGGTGGGGAGGAGAGGGGCCTCTGCACCTGAAGGCCAAGGGTCAAGGCACTTCATTATGTCTGATTAATTTGGGTCACCCATGACTGACCCAGGCTCTATGCTTCATTTGTTGTGTTACCACAGGCAAGTTGAGAATCTCTTTAGGTCTCCACTTCTACATTTAGAAAATGAAATGGGGCAAGGGCATGATTTGTTTCCCTCATTTCTGTGATCTTTTCAGATTTTATCTCTTTAAGATGCTTAATTTAATGGATATCTCAAATAAGAGGTATAAGAATAATAAGTTGCACTTTATGATTTTTTTGCTTTCCTCTGGGTTTATCATCTCTTAAATATGCTCCTTCAGGTATGAAAATAAATGACAACCAAGCTCTATTTTTTGAGTATGTCACTTTCCTAGGACCCTGTAAAATTACATTTGAAGCAACTCTTCAGTCATATAACTTCTTTTTCTGCTGAAATTATGTTACTGTCCATTAGTATTTTACATTTTATGATGGAAATTTTGAAACATATGCAAGAGAATTGTATAATGAGCCCCCATGGACTCAACCAGCCTCAATAAATATGCACATTTTGTCAATCTTGGTTTTTTTGCCTTCCCCCACCCCAGGAACACTTTTGGCAGAGGAGAATACTGGAGTATTTAAAGCAAATCTCAGATATCATTTCATTTGTGTTTTCTAACAGAGGAAGTCCTCCTTTTTGTAAAATGTAGCTATAATAGCTACACCTACCCAAATTAACAGTGATATCATTGTTATTATACCCACCCAAATTAATGATGCAAAAGTTCTTTGAATTTTGGCAAATTGAGTAGGGAATGGGGATTAAGATGAAGGATCTCTAGTTTGTATTTAGTCCTTTCTTCCAGAAAAAAAAAAGTTGGAATTCACTCATTGAGGAGGATCCTGAGGTTTTAGCTAGTAGTGGGCCCACTCCTACACAATTCTGAAAGAAATGTGGGAAAGACCTGTCTGTTCAGAGTAATAGATGTAATTAGCATTTACTGAGTACCTACTGTGTACATCTCCACAAAAATCAACTCTTTTAACCTTCACACCAAAGCTGAGAATAGGAACCAAGGTGCCAGGAGGAGCTTCCCAAATATCACCTTCTGATTGGTCAATATCAAAATGCTTCCAAAACTCCCTCCTGGATCAGTAGGAAATCTTTCCAAATAGAATCAGTACACAAGGCTGTGTGGTTTGCACCTTAATCTACCCAGATGTTTAACTGCTACAGAAACATTAACTAGTTCATTCTTTAGGAGTCCAAGGAAAGCCAGATGTGGCGGTATATGCCTATAATCCCAGTGGCTTAGGAGGCTGAGGCAGGAGGACCGCAAGTTGGAGGCCAGCCCCAGCAACTTACAGAGGCCCTAAGCAACTTAGGGAGACCCTGTCTCAAAATTTAAAAATAAATAAAAAGGGCTGAGTATGTGGCTCAGTGATTAAGTGCCCCTGGGTTCAATTCCCAGTACAGTAAATAAATAAATAGATAAAGCCAGAGTCCCTGGAAAATATGTAACTAAGGATAATAGAGTTCTCTTTCTAGAGAGAACATGAAAATGCCTTCCTCTCCCCAGCCCAGGCTAAGAGATTCAGCTTACTTCTTCTCCCTAATTCCCTTTTCCCAAATGGATATATAGATGGTTCCTGACTTAGAATAGTTTGGTTTAGGATTTTTCAACTTAACAATGATGGTAAAGTGATACTCATTCAGTATTTTGAATTTTTTTTTGTATGGCAAAGTCTTTACTTTTAAATGATTATCAGTACTCCAAATGATAACATGTAACAAGTCCTTGAATCCTCTTATCTAGTAATTTTGATTAAAATAAACTAACAGTAGCCCTAACAAGTATGTTAGTATTTGTTGTTCAAACCCTTAGTCAGAATGGATGAATTTAAGGCTGCTGATGCTTCGGATACATTACAAATAACTATTTACTACTTGTTCATAGATAAAGCCCCGGACCTTCAAGAAAGTATAAGGGGAAAATATTTAATCCTTTTCTTTCTGTAAATAATTGTTTTTCCTTACTAAATCTAAGAAAGAAAAGCTCAACATTAATACATCCATTGCTTGAGCTGTAGGCATAGGAAAACAGACAACACATACTTATTAAATTTCTAAGAAGGATGAAGTAAAAAGATAACACCTTTGGATAAGGACTAAGGCTATACAAAGAAGCTAGATTTGCTATTCTCCAAAAGGGACCTTTTATCTCACAGAGAAATAATTTCATGCCTTTTGTAAGAATAGAACTCAAGTTCTGCTGAAGCTTCATATTCTGCAAGGCACTTCATGTTCTGAAGTGCCTACCTAGGAAACGGGCTTCTTTTTCCTCCTATCCATTTAAATGGTAGTTTTCATGGATTTCGGTTGCATGTTGCAGACAAAGGCCAAGAGATTATTCAATGACTGCATCCCCCTGTTCTGCTGGAAGCAGGTCTGTGGGGTAGTCATTTTTTCCTGGGTCTCATTCTCACTTCAGAGCTGCCACAGGATCTCAGTGCTAGAGCTTCCTTGACATTGAACTTTTTCTCCCTCTGCAGGCGATACTGTTCAATTTCAGCCTGAGAGGCTGCTTTGGCCTGCTTCAGCTTCTGGTTCTTTCACTTGTGGGCTTTGGATATCTTCTCTGCAGCCTGCTTTTTGCTGGATCCCCTGTGACTGACTGGTCATGGCTATGCGACTCAGAGGTCCAGCCAAGTGGCCTAACTCTATGCGATGGCCCACAGTATTTTGCATGTCCATCTTTTGCTAAACTAATGATATTGGGTTGTAACAATCTCTTATGATGCTGGGCAGAGCCATCTGCCTGCAGCTCCCCAGTTGGACACATGAGGAGAGTGAACAAGCCATACTCCATAGGATTCAGTGCTAAGATGATATGAGAGGCAGGTTTCATTTACCATATTTTTTATTTAGGCTATTTTGGCTGACTCTCCACAGTAGGTCTGGGAGCCCCTGTAAATGCCAATTATAGACTTAAAAGTCACTTGTTCGGATTAGAAGATAGTTGTAGGTGTATTCTTGAACTGTTTGAATTTTTGCAATGGAAACCTGTATACTTTTATTTAGTAAGGAGAATATTTAAATAGCAACTTGAAGAGTGCCTCCTTTGCCCTGTTTGGCAGTGGGAAGAGGCTCCTTACTCTGGGAAGGGGGAAAAAGAAGTGGAGGCAAAGAGAAAGAGAAAAAGGGAGGGAAATAAAAATCAATGAATTCCAGATTGATTTCATGACCCAGCTTGAGAGGAGCTCTGGTAACTGATTTTGGTTTTAAAATGTCCTTCCATGGACCCAAAGGAATAGGCAATTGGCTGCCTGGGTAATGAATCCATCCAGAAGGGTTACTGTGATATTGTGGGAACCTTAATTTCAGGGCCCTTTCCTATACTTCCCTCTCCTTGGGAGGGGCTCCAGGCACATGTCCCATGCCTGTGTGTATAAGCTTCCCACCACACAAAACCCAGATACAGCCCTGCAGCTCCTGCAGATCAAGAGAATAATGTGCCCATAGCCATATCTTGATAAGTCTCAGGTTTCCCCAGTCATGGAACCTTCCTCTGTGTGTGTGTGTGTGTGTGTGTGTTTTTTAATTCCTCTTTGTAATATGCAAGGGTTTAACCTGATTTGTGTTTCATTTGTACAGATGAAATTATGCAGCAGGAAGTCAGGCCTTTGGTGGCAGTGGACATAATAGAACAGCTTCACCGGCAATTTGCCATTCTTTCAGGTAAGGGACAAATTCATGTTTTGTTGGGATTCCTATGGGAAGAGCCCAGTCTCTGGAACCCTGATGAATGTTAGGCTTGTGTTTCACTCACCCCTAAAGCCTCAGCCAGGACTGGAATGGAGTGAGGATATTCTGCTGGCCATAGCCAGGAGCTCATGGAAGTAGTTAGTTGTCTTTTCTGTTGGGGACAATCTTGATCTTTCCCAAGGGAGTTTATGCTTTGAGATTTAAAGAACAGAGTTGGAAAGATCTTGAAGAACAACAAAGAAATAACTGCTGGATCAGCTACCAGGGTGAATTCTCCCATTGTCCTATTGATGTTTTCCCAGGAGTCAACCTGGGGAGTCTTGCTGAAAGGACTCATGAGCACTGTTGAGGTTATTTGTTCTCTGAGACATTTGTCTTTTATTCTCATCTCTTCTAAGGAGATTTCCATCCAGCGTTAGATTGGAATTAAAGAGGATATAGTCTAGTAAGAGACTAGAAATTTCCTGAGCTCATCCACAATCCTGGGAAAGTTGTTATCACTTGAGAACATTCTTTTTCATTCATTTAGTTGAGGTTGACATCACTTCAATTCCTGAAACTAGGGATGACACCAAATTATTATAAATAAATTATAGTAAAACCAAACTCGAAAACCTACAATAGTGAGATGAGGCCCTTGAATCACACACAGGGGAATAGGGTGGCCACTCACTCTTGAGATTTTATACCTGTTCTGGAAAAAGCAAAAAATAAACCTAAAACCATCTTAGTTACATCATGGAGAGAATGTGCAGTTGGTATCAATCTTACTCTATGACTGGGAATATGAGGAAGTCACATTATTTTCCCTTTCTCAGATCATATTTAATCTGCTTCAAAGCCTCAGCCCACTGATATGAAGGAAATGTAATTTCACTTAGTGGGATACTTCTTCCCATTCCAGCATTACATCCTGGGTGGGAACATTGTACACAATCTAGAACATTGCCCGATCTTTCCTCAAGTGAAAACTCCATTAATGCAGGGTCTTCATTTTTTCTTGTTTCTGTATTGCCAGATTTTAGAACAGAGAATGAAACATAAAAGATGCTCAGTACAAAATTATCTAAGTCCTCTGGTTTACCCTGGGAGGTTAGTGGACTCACTGCTCCTCAATGCCCAGCTTAGGACCTAGCAATGGCCCTGGGAAGCACCTAACCAGCCCTCTGAAGGTGCTATCTATCTCTCAGCTTCCTGTGGCGAGTCCAGGCTGTGCAAGACAAAAGGCAAGATGGAGAATGTCTTCTGGGTTCCTAGAAACTGGAGCTGTGACCCTGCAACACAGAAGGCCCCAGGGCCCACCTGCCTCAGGGTCTGCAGGGATGGTGGGGAACAGCTGGGCTGGATTCCTATAGCCTTGGACCGAAACTCTGTTGGCACAATATACGATTCTGACATTTATCATTACACCATGGCTCATCTCAGACAGGAGTCCAGTGACTGATTAATTTATAATTTTTTTTTAGAAAGAGAGAATTTTTTTAATATTTATTTTTCAGTTTTTGGTGGACACAACATCTTTATTTTATTTTTATGTGGTGCATGAGGATTGAACCCAGCGCCTTGCGCATGCCAGGCAAGCGAGTTCTGCTTGAGCCACATCCCCAGCCCCATTAATTTATAATTTAATGGTTCATTTTTATCCCTTTTGAGTATTATTGAAACATTTTAAAAAATTCTTCTTTTTTATTTTTATTTTCTTTTAGTTGTAGAGAGACACATAACCTTTATTTTAATCATTTATTTTTATGTGGTGCTGAGGATCAAACCCAGTGCCTCACACATGAGAAGCAAGCGCTCTCTCTCTGAGCTACAGCCCCAGGCCTTCATTCTTACTTCTTAGAGGCAGTGTGAGAAAAACAGACACCATGTAGCTCTATATAAGGATTTGGATTCTGCTGCTAACTAGCAGTGTCACTTTACTTTTTGAAGTTTCAGTTTCCTCATTTGTACAGTGGGGTCATCATAAATTTTAAGATTAAATGACACAATGCATGACAAATACATAGTGCTATAACTGCCAGATAAATGTTCATCTTTTTCTCCACTTATTTTATTTGTTCTTTTTAGTTATACATGACAATGGAATGTATTTTGACATATCATTTATACATGGAGTATAAAGTCTTGTTCTTGTGGTTGTACATGATGTGAAGTTACACAGGTCATGTATTCATATATGAACATAGGAAAGTTATGTCCTATTCATGCTACCATCTTTCCTATTCCTTCCCCCGATTCCCTTCATTCCCCTTTGTCTAATCTAATGAACTTCTCTTCTCCCCTGTCCCTTGTTGTGTGTTAGCATCCACATATCAGAGAGAATATTTGGCCTGTGGTTCTTTGGCTTATTACACTTTGCATGATAGTTTCCAGTTCCATCTGTTTACCAGCAAGTGCCATAATTTCATTTTTCTTTATATCTGAGTAATATTCCATGGTGTATATATGTCACATTTTCTTTATCCATTCATCTATTGAAGGGCACCTAGGTTGGTTCCATGACTTAGCTATTATGAATTGAGCTGCTATAAACATTGCTGTGGCTGCATCTAGACACATTTTAAATTCCCATAAAATATTTATCCTGTGGTTGTGTCACCAAAGCTAGTTTTCAGTGTGATAGAGTTTTTACAAGGAATCAAAATCGTGGTCACAGTGAATATGTGTAGAATGCCACTGTTAAGTCAGGAATAAAGATAATTGTCACTCCTGAATGTGGAAACAAAACTGTGAAAACACAAAACACACTGGACAAGAGCCACCTTTCCTTTAAGAAAGGCACTTGACCATGGCAAAGATAATCCTTCATTTCTGAGTCTCTTTTGTTCATCAAGTTTGCCCCTCTGGTGAGAGAGAAGTGTGGATTTGTTGTGAAAGCACTTGCAAGATGGCAGGTTCTCAGACTACCAGCCCTGAGTTAGCTCTTTGGAATCAGAGGCTAGCTCTTCAGTCTTCCCATCCCTCTCGGCCTGGCATCGAGAGCAAATGTCAGCAAGGAGGACGCTGTGGGCAGGAAGCAGAGATCTCTGTGATTAGGTCTTTTCCATGGCTGTGGCAGCCCTAAGGCTGCAGCCTCTGCTCAGAGGCACAGCAGTTTTCTTTTCCTGGTTCAGGTAAGCAGAGTGAATATTTTCCAGCTGCAGAATTTTCCAGATTTCACTCAGCTCTGGAAAGAGCCAGAGGTCCCATCAACCAGGAAGGCTGTGGAGTGAGGATGTAGCCTTTTTCTCCATGAGACTCCAGTCAGCTCTTGTTCTGGCTGGTAGGGGAGCAAAGACTCACTGCTGGAAGCCTGACTTGTGGCCAGACTTGTGGCCAGATGGTTTCACCATCCAGAGGCTCCTTCCTTTCCTTCACCATGGTTTCTTCCAAGGTTAGAACCACCAGGGACCCCAGTCCCGGGCACCATCCAGCTCATACATGGCAGACACCCTTCCTGTTCACAGGGAACTTGGGATATATCTAAGTTTGGGGCTTTACTAGAAAACATAAGCAGGTTAGTATAGGACAAACACTCTAGACTTTGGATTGAGACTGTTCTGGATTCACATTCAACTAGTAGATTATCATTTGTAAAATGGGTTATATTAAAGGAAAGTGCCCAGCATGATATCTGGCTATGAAAGACCTTAGCCCACAGGACTTTAAACTGCATAATATGATATCTGAAGGTACAAATTCCTGGTGTTGGATCATGGTTTAATGATGTTAAGGCCGTTATCTTTGTGATTCTCTTAATGTTTCCTTGTTTGTTAAATTTTAATCACAAATGGCTGTTGCTGCTTCAGACATCAATGCTATGTCCAAAGGAGGAAGAATGAAAAGGAACAGTGCTTGCTTTCTTTGTTCCTTTTGTCAGGATAGTAGGAACTCTTCCAGAAGCTTTTAACTAACTTTATGTTATATAGCCATTCCTAGCTCCAAATGAATCTGAGAAGGCAAGAACTTGGCCTTCTAACTGCCATAATGGCTTGGGAAAGAGGGGCTGTGAAAAATTAGCCATTTATCAGTGTCTGCCGTAATGCCTTTCTTTTAATTATGAGGAATTATTCTTTAATATTTCTTTTAATAGCTATTTCTCCCTCAGAATTGTTGTACCTGAACCCTCCCTTCATAGTTGTTTCTGTTTGTTTTTTTTTTTTTGCGGGGGCGGGGGGTACTGGGGACTAAATCTAGCTATGCTTTACCACTGAGCCATATCCTCAGCCCCTTAACAGCGACCAGCACTGACGAGATGAACTGGGTTTAAAAGAGCTAGCTGCAACATTAAACTAAGAAAACGGCCAAGAAATCATACAACACAGAGAAATGAGTTTTACAGATAGAGGGTGGGACTGCTCAGTGACCTCAAGGTCCTCTTCCATGCTGTAAGGCAAGAGAGTGGGTGCACCCAGAGTCCCTTTATTTATAGGGAAAAGACAACAAAGGATTTTCTATAGAATATTCTACACCAAATAAGGCAGGGATAAGGTTTCAAGGGGGTTGCCCAATCCCATTGGGTAATGCTCAAGTCCAGAGTTGAAGCAAACTTCTTTACTGAGCAAAGGTGAAGGCCACTTGCTTGGCACAGCACATGGTGTGTGATGCCAGACCAATACCCCCTTACCCAAGGCTGAGAGGGGATGCTCAGCTCACGGATAGACAGCTCCCACATCAGCCCTTTTTATTTTTTTAATTTTGAGGCAGGATCTTGCTAAGTTTCTGAGGGCCTCACCAAGTTGCTGAGGCTGACCTTGAATTGTGAACCTCCTGCTTCAGACTCCCATGTTGCTGGCATTACAGGTGTACCTGGCTTTATAGTAGCTTTAATCCTTTGAAAATAATGAATAATCAAAGCATAAAGCATTCTTAGGCTTGTGGAGTCCCCACTGCCATGTAAAGAGGAAAAAAAGGAAAGTAATTATAGCAAAATAGCATGTATTTCAACAATATGTATTTCAAAAGAAGTAATGAGGAAATAGTACTCCTGT